GTTTCTTCTGAACTAATCTGATGATGTGTCTCTTTTGCTGTAACTTGTCCTCTTTTATCTCCTTTAGTTAACTCACACAGCTCAGTGGATGAGCGATTGCTTTTGACTAAAATCTCAGATTTCATCACATGGTTTCTATAAATAAAGCGATAAACGTCAGGCGTGTTAGCATCAGTGGGAAGAACTGACTTAACAGCATTAAAAATAACAGTTGTTGTAATCAGACAGGACTCAGGATCCTGCAGAAAAGAAGATCCCTGCATTTTTGAATGAATTGAATCAGTTAATCAAATTAATGTTTCAAGCACCGTGTGTATCAGTGACGGCAGCAGTGATTTACAGTCTCATACTTGTCTCTTTGTGTGGGACTGAGATGTTACTTTGATGAACTGATTCAATCTTGAATGAAGGAACAGCGATTTTCTTCTTCAAGATATCGAACGTCTCAAGTTAAAAACCATAATTCTTCCTGATAGATGGATCTGTACCAGGTGTCATGGGTGTCTGCTTGAATATATGGCCACAGACAGAAACCAGTGGAAACAGCTAGCCTGGCTCTGGGTGGAGGAAACAAACCAGCTCCCATCAGGCTCAGTGATTATCATGTTGCATCATATTTGTTTCACAACAAGAGAGGTGGCATATTAAATGGTGACAGGAGCATTAACTTTCTGGAGCCTTCATGCTCTGCCTGTCTGCCCGGCACCACGGCCATTACCTCTGTGTTTGCATGTTATTGTTCCAATTTTCCAGCCACTGAGCAGCAAACAACCTGAAACACCAGAGTTACTCATTAACGGCCTTATCTGGAGAATCTCCGTGCCTTTCACTACACCCGACCTGTCACCTGCCAGGAAGTGTGTGTTTGCATGCGCATGGACATCTTGTGTGTAGCATATATCACCGGTGATTACATCAGGGTCATGTGAAGGAAAGGTGGAACGTGAGCGTTAAGGATCTGAAGAAAGGATGTATCCTTCACCTTTCTTTTTTTTTTTTTTTTTATCTGAGGCCGTCCATCCTTATGAAACTGTGTGCCCTCATTTAGTCTGTGTGTTGTGGGCATTATGTTCGTGCGTTTGAGTGCACTTATTGTTTCTGCCCCGTGTGTGTGTCCCTGACACACAGCTGTTGGCAAAGTGTGTGTTGTTATCAGTGTAAAAAGGCCTAGGGTCAGCATTACCAAGTGATAAACTCGCTGTTGGAGCTGACTCAGGCCATACCGCCGAAAGTTCAAACAACACCGACACTCTTCCATTAAAATCTCTCCTCTTCCCCTTCTTCAACAACTTTGCATTTCTGAAACATTCTCCCTGGATCCTTAATCCTGACCCCTGAAGCCTGATTGTTACATATCACCCGGTCATATGACTAAAGTGTGTTTTTCATTTGTACTCTTTAATCTAAAATCAAACAATGACTGTGAGGTGAACCGGCGTAAGTGGAGAACATGTAGGACACTTACAATGCTAATAATCTATGTACCAAAAGGCCAAAAGGTAAAACAGTGGATTATTTGCAACCACATGACCTCAATCCAGGATCTGCGATGAGACAGGAGCTGCTGATGTTAGTTCAGCACACACAGAATCTCATTCACGAAATATGATTATATATCTACCACTACATCTATCATGTTAATATGAATGTTGACGGCATTGGCCCTGACAAAACGTTCTCTAAAGCGGAAGCAGAAGCCCATGTGAAAAGTGACTGTTTATACATAAACTGAAGCGTGCGTCCATGTGTATATAGTGTAAATGAATTAATCTTCACTGATCTTAAATTCAATGAAGTCTTACAGATGAGCCAGTGAAACAACACAGATCAAGAAATTATATCATCTCCATTACAGAAGAACGAAAAGTTGATTACAAAGAACACAGACTAAAATACTAGAGTTAGAAACAAAGCTGCTAGAACTTTTATATCTTTATTTGGATTTGCAAACATTGCACACCATAGATACGAGTCCCCTCAATATGCCTGATCACAAAGATGCACACAGCCCAACTCGATATTTTTTAAAGGTAAAACATTATTTTTGACGATCAGACACAAGCACAGATCTACCAGGCCTGGTTACGTGAGTTCAATACATTCAGTTTTTCATTGACTATATCTGACATTGGCCTCATTCAGGCTCTAAATATAAGAGAAACACTCTTTCATGACCGTACTACTTTTAAAACCCTTGAATTGTGTTTTGCATAATTTCCTAATCTAATCCAAACAATTCCAAAGTGACGAGGTCCATTTCCCAAAGCTGCTGCGACCTGAAGCCTGTTAATTATTTTATCAATCATCCTGCTGTGACCACAGAATGATGTCTTTACGAAAAGAATCTAATGTAATCAAACACCGCAGGACGGAGGCTGTTAGCGCTCGATCAATGAGTGAGGAGGACGATCGGGGATGATTATCAGAGCCCAAACAATAACGCTCGTTGTGATTGATCACAGATCGTTAATGATTCAAAGACTGAGGTGATCATTTCCTTAGATCTGTTCCCAAGAGAATAATATCTATTTAAAATCAACTGTGTGTACTGCAGTTGTGTTTTTGGGTGATTGAATGTCAATGCTGATACTTTATTTATTACTTTATTTATTTCTTCCTTCTTCTTTTCTGATATGATTTCTTTATTTTTGAACATTTCTTTGCTTTGTCTTTTTCTGACTCATATATCTACATATTTTAATTCAAGCATGATAACAAAATAAAAACTTAATCTAATGCTTTCCTGGCCAAAAAGCCAAATAATACAAATATACCTCACCGAATGAAACCCAGATGTATGAGTGTGTTTCAGGCTGAATTTCATCTTTAAGTTATGGCAGAAAATAAACATTATCAAAGTTTAAAGAATAATTTGAAATGAAATGAGAGAATAAAAACTACAACAAAAATACAAATTTAAACTCTGTCAAGAAAGTGGTCCACTGACCCGTTTCCTAATGGCCAAGCATGTGTGCGGTGAGTGAGCAGTGTCACCACAGTGTGCACCGCTGCATGCTCCACTGACTGCATTAAGAGTTAAATACACTCTCAGGTACTCTGCATGACAGAAATCTGGGTCAGATCAGTGTTTCAGTGCGACCAGAGGAGGCTGAGCTGGTTCAGGTGACCTTGTTGTTCCGTCCACTTGCCACAGAAACACTGGTTTGTTGAATTTTGCAGATATTTGAAGTATGTGGTTATGAAGGGCTGAGGTCTCTCGGGTTAACTTAAGGCTTCCTATAGAACACAGGACAAGCTAAAAAAAGCAAAAATGGGAGATTTAGCATCTGTGCTGCTGGAGTGTCCTTGGGCAAAACACTGAATCCCAACCAGGTCCAGCGTCTCTGCAGTCCTGCGGAATCGTGATGTCTCTGTGGAGACAAGAATAACTTCTTGTGGTATTTTCAGAAGTGAAGTTGGACAGACTCTCAGTTCTTTGACCTTTAATCGACTCAGACAGAAGCCAAATTGCAAAATGAGAGTTCATGCACAACCCAAGCATTCATGACCTAAACATGCATAAACTTCATGTTTACAGATCTTAAATTAAATTAAACCTTATATCTAAGTCAACAAAACAATGCAGATAATTAAATCATTAAATAGCCATTGCATCACACATAACTACACACACACGTCAGGAAGAGAAGAGATATTGGTATTTGAGGGAGAATCTTCAACAGTGAGCAAACATTTGATAGAAGACTCGTTCTTGATGCTCCTGCTACTGTTTCCACGATGTGACCTGGACAGATTCTCCTTCAAACTGTTATTAGATGCAGCTTTTTTTTCCCATCTTTCAAACCCCTGTACGTTTGTTGGTTGGTTTGTTTGTGAGCATTACTAAAAAACATCAGAATCCCTCGATTTTTTTTTTTCACACTGTGAGATCGGAGGTTTTGCAACATTTTCATCGTTTCCCCAGGAAACAATTCAGTTTTAAAAATCAGGCATATTCAGAGAACTGATATCTACGAGTGTGTGATGTTTGGTGCAGCTTGATTGAATTGAAAGGGTCTGTTGGGGCCTTGGTGGAGGCGCTAGGGTCACATATATACACAGATGTAGTGGTGAGCCATCTCCGCCAGTTCACTTCCAATCTGTGTGAGCGGGGAGGAGAATAATATGCTTCCTGTGTGAGTTCCACTTTGGTGGACTTCGACATGCGATACTCGCTTCACATTCACATGGGCATGAATCTGCGAAAGGTGAAGTAGAGGATGGGTCTGCGGACTTCTGCGTACATCCTTCCTGTCCTATACAATGTGGACACAGTCATAGAGGACAGACTTATTCTCTGCTTTAGCTTTTGAGAAGGATTCATGAAGCTCATCAAAACCAGATCTATCCTCATTTTCACCTTTAGAGCTTGATGGAGCCTAAAAGGGGTGAACACCTTCTAATATAGCAGCCGGACTTCTGCATAAAGGATCTCTCTGTCCCCTCCACCATGTGAACACAGTCTGATAGGACAGAAACACACACCGGCTGCCTTGCAGTGACTTAAGAGTCGGGCTAAATTTAGACTCTGCTGCATGTTGAATAATAAAGTGTGAATGAGGCAGAGTATAGGGCGGCAGCGGTGAGAGGAAGTGGTGGAGAGGAACAGAGACGAAGGCCTGTTAGAGCTTTCCTCTTTCCTCCATGAGTCTGCATGGGGACAGGTTTGTTATTCTCCCTTAAGGAAGGTGCAGCAGCAGCAGCAGCAGCAGCAGGAGTGAATTCAGAAGGAACAGCTGATGGTTGAGGGGTGGTGTAGGGTTGGGGGTGTACATGATGGGAGGGTCCAAGGAGGCTGAAGGAGGAAAAACAAACTCGGTTTCAGGGTGGGCGGGGTGAGCGCAGAGAGAGGCGGCGCTACTGTACTCATATGAATCCAGAACATGTATATTTACCTAAAGCAGCCTCTGTTGTTCCAGCTGAACGCAGGTCAGGGTCTTTAGGCACCAGTCCTGACCGACTTGACGAGACTCTATCCTTGTTTTTTTCGTGCGCAACAGGACTGGAGCAGCTTGTGGTTGCGCGCAGAGAGGATGTCTTTGTCTCCCCAGCTCGCACCTGGAACAAGGAAACAGTGAGAGCTTTTTCAAATTCTTTATTTTTGTTCACTTCGGAAGAAAAGCGCAGGACTAAGTCATTCCCTTCATATCAGGCTGAAGGAGGGGCACTGGAATATGAGCAGGACTTGATGCGCGTTTAGACTGTGACCTGTAGCACCACCTGTGACACCAGGCGCCAAACACATGCTGTTTCCTCAGCTGTGACCTTGAAGACGCGGTTTGGCACCGTGAGAACAGGATACGCACATATACTTCACTCTCACCTGTGCAGTTTATATCCACCTTTTTACAGTCACGTAAAACCTCCACTGGCACAGGTTGCTGACAGTGCATCCCCGGCCAAGTTGACTCATCAGATAAGTGCGGCACGTTCCGGTGGACGCGGCTTTTACGCACGGAGGAGACACTCGAGCGCACGGCGAGAGAAGCAGCGCACGGGTCTGCGTCAGGTGGAAGAAGAAGAAGACAACAGCATCACTTCAAAGCGGTTTGACCAAGCACAGCCAGTAAAATGACGGACGGGCCGAGACAACGAGGCAGCACGGCGGGCTCTGCCAAGGATGCCGCCGGCGACAGCTCGTCCGAAGGAGGCGTTGCGCTCAAGAAGGAAATCGGGCTTGTGAGCGCCTGTGGCATCATTGTTGGTAAGTGGCGGCCACCACTCCTGTATTAGAGATGGTGACTGAGAACCATTTGTCTTATACTGTAAGAGTTCAGCTTTCCACTGTGTTAGCGTGTGAGAGGGACAGTGACAAATCAAACTGTTCCACCACCTGTGTTTCAGTCTCACACTCAGCCAAGCAGAGCCAGTAAAACTGCACTGGAATCAGTTTCCTTTACTCATCTAATTACACTCTTTATGTTGCATTCACTACATTTTGTTGTGTCAAGTGGTTGCAGAAAATACATGTATCTAAATCAAGATACTTAAAAATAAAAAAAAACTGTATGTGGTCAGTGAAGGTATATCGGGGTTATGGTGAATATGAGTGTGGTTGGTGAGGTGTGTTGACAGACAGAAAGTGATTCTCCTGCAGCTGCAACACTTCCACAGACGGCAGCAGGTCTGAAGTGAACAGGCATGAAAGACACGTTTGAGATGGATAAAATGGCACCATTCAGTTTTATAATCCAAGATGGCTCTAAGGGATATAGTCTGATCCATCTCAGGCTGTCTCACGCCTTCTGGCCCCAAGCTGCTGTCGTTAATCAGCGACGCTTTCATCATCTCTCTGTCACCGGGCCAGCACTGACGATGTCACCGCCCACGCTCGTCTCTGATGGTGCTGCCTCTGAAGGATTCAGAGTTAGTAAAGTTTTTAGTCTCAGTCTTTGGTGACTTTGATGGAGAAATGCAACTTTAAAGCGGAGGTACTGTCTGCAAAAATTACCCTTGTGATTGTCACATTGATTTGCATTGTGGGTAATGTAGGTGTCAGTGATTGTGGAGTTTGAAACCAGGATATTTTAGCATCTGCTGCAGCAATTGAGATGATTCTGTCTTTGACCCGTCCCCTGTCAGTTTTGTGGAATTACTAAAACTAAATAGCACTGAAGTGATCGAGTGACTCTTTAATATATACACGTTAGCCTCATCAGTTTAAGTTATTAATTAGTCATTCCCCTTTTCAAGGCTGTAAATTGTTGAGGTGCTGCACTGCTCTGGTATTGTACTTCCACCTTTTTTTATTTCCTTCCTCTTTTACATCAAAGTTAGAAGTGTCCAGTCAATGTAACACCAACAGACACCCGATCAACCGAGACAAACACACAGATGAATCGTGGCACAGGTTGAGGAGTGTGTGGTCTTCCTGTTGACCTTGACGGGATGAGGAGCAGAGGAGGGGATGACTCACTCCACTCTTGTGTTTCCACGGTAACGGGAGGAAAGGAGAGGATGGGAGATTCCCAAGAGGTTTGCGTCGTGAGAGAGGAGAGAGACAGAAGCTAAAAGAAGGAGTGAGGGTGAGAGGTGAAGAACAACCCAGTCAGGGAAATGTTATTGAGAAGACCTTGCTCCTTCTCAGGGTGGAGTCCTTGAGGTTGCACTGGGAAGGCCTCATTTCTGCTCTGCTGCAGTTTATGCACATTTTCATTGATGTTTTTTTTCTGGGGCAGTAATCTTGTTCTGATATACTTGCAAATACTGACAGATCCCTAAAGATCGAAAAGAAGCCTCTTAGAGATCCCTGGGCATGCTTCAGCTCTACCCTTCAGTTTATCTAGTTGAAATTTATCACACGCCTTGTCTACTGACTATCAAGAAACACATTTTTTATGGCCATCCAGAGTCCGTGCACTTTGGCGTTTAGTCCACAGACTGTTCTTGGCACTGGGGATTTCGTCCTTGACCAAGTCATTCATTCGTGCTCGTTCAGCTCACATTGTCATGTGCGAGAGAGACGTGAGCTCAGGTGACTCGTCTGATCCCTTCGCAGTGAACATGCCCCGCTGGGTTTCCACGAAATAGCCTGAGCACATCAAACAGTTTTATGGGCTATTGTGAGGTACATGCATTCATCGCTCACGTGCACACACGCACACACACAAAGAACCAGTAATGTGCAAAGCAAGGAATTGGAATTAGTAGTGAACTTTTGGCTACATGGAAGAAGTCCCCGCCCTGATAATGTTGTTTTATTAGCTCGCCCGGCTTAGCCCTGTCTGAGCTGGACTCCAATCGGTGTGTTTTGTAATAGAATTGCCACAATTCACATCACTCTCACCCTCGACTTCAATCGTGTCCTCGTGTGAAATTGAAAAACGCTGCAAAGCCTTAATCCTTATTAGCAGATTCAATTATTTCATTGATAGGATCCAAAATGCAAAGACGCTAAAGTTGCCTCAGGTTTGTTTCACATCTATTTACATGCATGTAAACTTGGTAGGGTCTGTGAGACAGGAAAGCTTTCTACAGGCAGATTAGGGTTTTATGATAACACTGAACAAACACAATCCACAAGCTTGGTAATATTCACGTTTGCTCTTCCCTGAAGATCAACTTGTTTTCACTCAGCAAGAAGAAATATAATACTATACTTCTATAATAATAATTGATCGTTGCAAAAATCACTATAGATGATCGTACGCTATTTTTTCTTTCTTTATTCAACTTTTATTGATCCAGGGAGGCCCGTTGTCCTGCCTGAGATAATACAAGTAACGATAATTAGCTAATAAATCAATTATTCCAATAATCTGCATCTGTTTTTATGATCAGATAATTTTTTTCTTTGTCGTATGTGACAGTGAAGTATGAATGATGATTTACAGATAACGTTAAAGCAAATTAGAGAAAAATACAGCATAAATCCATTTATAATACGAATCCTATAAAAGATCACATCCCCATAAGAACTCATGAAGTCTGAAGTGGAGCCTGTTGCTGTCACATCAAACAAAGGAACAGAAATGTGCTCAGCGTCTGAGACCGAGCCTCTTCCTCTGTGAGACGACAATCTAACAATGGAGGATATCACAGACTCCTGAGGTAAGAGGCTGATAAAGAGATTTAGTTTGCAAACGTGAAACAGACGTGGACACACTGAACGTGGGTTCCAGTTCAGACGTTTATCATCCTCTGCTTCTTTAAGTTCCCAAATCTAGATCAAGAGCCGGTCTCTAACAACAACAACAAAAAAAAAAAAAAGATGTTCCCCTCTGGCCTGGTTGGAGACAAAAGGATGTAAAAACGATGGAGAAACAGGAAACATTGAGATTCCACGTTAGTCAGCATTCGTCTCACACATGCAAGCGTGCACATTTGTTCGCCCCCTTCAAAAAAAACACCCTCACGTAAAAAGTCAACTCAGGGAAACACCCAGCATTTCCTCACAGCATATTACCTTTACCAGCCAATTTCCAAAACGTTATGTTGCAGACACTCAACTGCGAGTTTGCAAGAGCCAGAAGCGCTGAGTGTTTTCACAAAGTCAGGGCCTGAGGACCACCGCTGCCATAAAAATGGGGATGGTTTGTTTGTCACGTTTTTTACCTATTACCTGCAAATGGAGTTACATAAGCGAGCAGCTGCATGTGTCGCGCTGCAGTGGAGCTCATGGTTTGGCACATGTTCAGATTTGAACAAGATGCTGAATTTAATCTGGAACCATTTTTTGTATTGTTGTTAAACCTGCTAAACTTTGTATGAACACGAGAAATCATTTTTCTTCTCCATTTGTTTGCATTCGAACGATTTGAAAATTTCTGAAATTGAAATTTAATTTGTGACCCATTATATCAGCACTTCTATGCTTGTATGTAAAAGCCCCTGACTATATACTGGTGAGTTATATATTGTAGGCAAATGCAGAGATAAATAATTTATTAGCCTTTGTCACTGCAGCTACAAATGATTTGCACACGCACAATTGCTGCACGTCTTCCCCCTCCTCTATCATTCACACCTTTGACTTTTGTACTCTAAAATGCAACTTGGCTCGTCATCCAATCAGTCAACCTTTGACTGTGATGCCTTTTTTTTTTTTTTTTTTATCACCTGCTGCCGAGTTCAAGCGAGCCCCGAGCACAGTTGGGCTGAATCTGATGGGAGGCTTCTGACCTCTGACCCTGGCTTTGTCGGAGCAGCGGTTCCTTTTATGTCGGATCTGAACCCGTCCCTCCGTCCCTCAGCTCCTGTGTAAACTCCCTGGCGCTCTGACGCTCATTGAGTATGTCAGGGCATTATTACCCCCCCCCCACCTTCACCACCACCCTCGCCTCACTTCTGCATCCACATCCCTGTTTGAACTCCTTCACCCGCTCTCTGTTTTGCTCCATCTCCTCATAACTCTTTGCCAAGTCAGCAGTTTGCAGGTTCCCACTTTGCCTGCTTCCTCAGTCTTCCAACCCTGTACACGCTCATCTGTCTCTCTCCCTCTCTCTCTGTCTCTCTGTACTGGAGACATTTTTCTTTTCTCCTGTCCGGTTTTCTCTTCGCCAGCTGTTTCTGGTCCACACAGTCCTCTCTCGTGTTGAAAATACACTAAAGCATGGTCCTGTAAATGGAATAGCATCTTGGCATTTGATAACCTATAAAAAAAGATGCGGGGATCAGCTGGTTTTTATTCCCTCAGCTTCAAGATATAAGATCACAGGTACCAGACTTCCCATAATGCAAGTGGGCAGCATATTTTTGACTCTTTGCCTAATAAATGCCCACGTATTTATATAAATGTTATTTTCTCAGATTTGACTCATCCACATCAGCCAGATATACAAATTAACTCAGGCTGAGTCATACTTCCTGTGATGACTCAACCATTCTCCTTTTCAGTTTGTGCTGAACCTGACTCCTCTCTGTCCTCCCTCCAACAGGTAACATTATCGGCTCGGGTATCTTCGTCAGTCCGAAGGGCGTGTTGGAGAACGCCAGCTCCGTGGGCGTGGCCCTGATCGTCTGGATCATCACCGGCATCATCACCGCCATCGGGGCGCTGTGCTACGCCGAGCTGGGCGTCACCATCCCCAAGTCGGGAGGAGACTACTCCTACGTGAAGGACATCTTCGGAGGCCTGGCTGGGTGAGCAAACACTACATTCAGTAGTTCTTGTGGTTGGAAACAATCAAAAGGGGGGTTCAGGAATTTTTGCACATGCAGTTGAGGGTGTGAATTGAGTCACAATACATCACAGGAAGCTGACATATTGAGTCAACGTGAAAGAAACATGGGTTAGGGGGTTTTGGAGTAGGTGGGTGTTACTTTGGGGATTCCAGCTGATGCAATTCTCTGCCCCCTCAAGCAAAACACGATTTTTGGTCAAACTCAAGGTGAAAAGATTTTACATTCATTTCACAGCCAACAACTGGTTTCTATGTGAAGAACTACCCTGAGAAAAAGTTCGCCCCTCTAACACTTCCAGCCGCCATGTCTGTCGGCTAAATTGCACAAAAATGAGGCTGAAGTGAGAATCACACTTCTGTCTCTCAAGCTTTAGAAGAGCAAACTTTTCAAACTTCTTTTAAAATATCTTTCAATATTTAGTTCTTTATATTTGTTCAAGAAAAACAAGTTTCTAAAACGTTGAAAGGTCAACAGTACAGTGTATCGAGTGAAAAACCCAGTTTTCAAGATGAAGGGGCCTCCCACACAATTAAATTTGATTTGACAAGGATTAAGGTGAGCATTCCAACATGTCTTCCTCTCTTTATCCTGGTGGATGAGCTTTCTGATGCGGGTCAGACATCTTGATCCAAAGCGGGGGGTCTCCAGCTTGTAGTGCAGAAGTTAAAAATTAAAGAGATATTGAGCCAAAAGACTCATATGTCCAATGATCCCACAGACGAAAGAAGATTCACAAACGGTAACTTACAGAACAGGGGACGTGAAAGCTGTTTTTTTCGTCTAAAATGACTTTCAACCTGCAGCCACCTTCCGTCCATCCATAAATGGACAGCTCCAAGGTGTAACCCTGCTTTACAGTAAATGCTTGGGAACCACGCTAGTTTAATTTCCGAGCACAACAATATGGTTTGTTGGCGTAGATATCACACACACTATTCCTTTGCCCGGACTGTAAACACAGATTGTTTTTTCAACTATCACAGGGTTATTATCAGGGTGTTTTGGGAGAGGAATTCCACCAGACAAAACAGCCAATGATTGTTTTTCTCCCTTTGTAGCGAAGCTATCAATACACATCAATGAACTTGCACCTCAGGGACTCAGTGGTTCGGATGCTCAGTTTGAAGTGTCGGGGCCACACCGCTTCCCTGTGCCCGCTGTCGAGGATAAATAAACCGCATTCAAGGGGTGTTTGTTTTTTTGTCGTCCTGTTGCCTTTATCCCCCGTGTGTGTGTATTTCCATGTGCGCGTAAGTGACAGAAATACTTACATCACCTCGCCGCAGCTGGACGGAGGCGTGCTCACAGAAAAGCGGAAGTGCTCGTAAAGTTGTACTGTCAAGGACTACTCGATCGAACGGTGTTTCAAGTACAGAGGCTCTTTGTTAGGTCCTGGTTGTGTCACACCCATGAAAGTTAGTTTAGAGACGACTTTAGGTTTGTTAAAGCAGGATATGAGTGGACAGTCAAAGGAATGCATTGCGTTAGTGTAATTATTAAGAGTCCAGGAGTTGATGATGACCTATTTAGGTCCTTCACTCAAGTTTTTAACAAATATTTGCTGGTTTTCTAGTTTTCCAGGTTAGTATCCTGAGAATCTCTTTTTATATGACTCACTTCCAAAATTATTTGAACATATTAATTGGGGCTTTAGAAACTTAAGAGGTGTAATTTTCACCATTTTCTCACAGCTTAAACATTATTCATCACCAAAATAATCCAAAAATTAATCAATAGCAAAAACATTTGAAGCTCTGAAAAGTATAAAACCATTAAGTCTTTATTAGTCACATATTTGAAGAAAGGTATATAAGGGTGTATTATTAGCCATGTATATGTGTTGTGCAGAAGGAAATACAGGCTGCATTTAACTGCTAACGACTTTACTTGGACATTTACTTAGATTAATCCCTAGTTTAATAAATATGTAAAACAATAGTGCATTTTATTTTGAAATTGAGTGCTGTTAAAGGTCTCAAAAACCCCAATAATGTCTACGTAGAGGTTTCAGTCGGAATCGGTCTGTGTTTGGACTTTTGGGTGTTAATATGTAGACTTAACACACACACACACACACACACATGCACACACACATTCCAGCGAGACACAATCCTGTTAATGCAGTCAGGCGTAATGATCCCTCTCTAAGCTTTCGGAGAATTCTGGGGGAAACAGGCGCAGGCCCTGGGCTCCTCTGCTGCTCTCAGCTATATCCCATCTCCCTCCCTCTCTTCTGCGTCTCATCTCACATCTGTGCAGAACCTGTTTGACTGCACCGACAAAATGACAGAGAAAAAAAAGATGCTCATAGCGGCAAAGGTCAAAACTAGGGCCTGCTATGGTATCTTTTTAATATATTAATCTAATCTAATAATCTAATCTATAATGACAGCGTGGGTTTCCCCCCCATTCGAAATGACTATTTGTATTCACTTGATCTGTTGACTCATTCTTTCCAAGCCAAACATCTTCAAATAGCTTGTTTCTCTAACAAAGTCCCAAGAATACCTTGCTTTGAATGGGACTCAGTGAAGGAAGGATGTATATGGTGAATGTACCTCTGTGATGTGCTCCCCCTGTTTATTCTGACCTGTTGCTTCTCCTACACACTGCTTGTGATCCTGACTCCCTGCTGCTCCTCCCCTGCCTCCAGGTTCCTGAGACTGTGGATCGCCGTGCTGGTCATCTACCCGACCAACCAGGCTGTGATCGCGCTGACGTTCTCCAACTACGTCCTGCAGCCGCTGTTCCCCACCTGCTTCCCCCCCGAGGGTGGCCTGCGTCTGCTGGCTGCCGTCTGCCTCCGTGAGTAACATGTGAAGCATCAACCAGAACATGAAGCAACTAAAATCTAATCTGCAAACTTATTTAAACTCACTTCAAGCACATGGTCTAATGGTTTCCTAATGAAGTCATCACCAAATTCATCACCAAAACAAGAACCATGTTTTAAAAAAAAAAAAAAAAATGTAAGTTACAGCACAATCTTAAAGTTTACACCATGCTTCTACAAGCATGTTCCGTGTCACTTTTGTCAAATCAGCAGTGTTCACTTCAGCTTTATTTCCCTAAAAGGACATTGTTCACGTGCTTTGACAGCAGTTTCATCTCAGTGTCCTTACACAAGGACAGGATAGATAAATGAAACAGAAAGAAAGTGACATTTAAGGAATAATTGCATCATTTTCACAAGTTGAAATTGGTAAAAAGTAAGATTTTATTTCAAAAATATTAATAAAAGTTTCCTCAATCGAGCCCCTTTGTCCAGATCCACCCCAAAATTTAATGAGTTATTTCTTGGCCTATGCTCCATCGTTCTGCCAATTTTTTTAGAAATCCATTCTGTATTTATGCTCAATCCTGTTCACAAACAAACAAGCCAACAAATGGACAGGGGCAAAAACACAGCATCCAGGCAGAGGTACGGAAAACTGCGAAACGTTGAATAAGTATTTTTCGACATCATGCAATAGAATAACTCCAATATTTAAAATCTTAATGGTTGCACTTGGAAATGCAACGTCCCATCTGATAAAACATTTTGAAATTAAACCACTTTCGTCCTTGGTGAAACGACTAAAAGCTGCTTCTCCTCACAGATTCATTTCTGATCAGGCAGCACTGACAGAACACAAATAGCCTCAAGAAAAACTGAGAAGGGACCAAAACGTTCTGTGAGCCTGCTTGTTGAGACAAGCTCAGCTATGATTAGAGAGAATCTGTGTAATCCAATGGGTGCACAAACGCTGACAGTCACAAGTCAGGAAATGACAGTCAGAGAGTAGATTTGATGTGAAAGCGCATTTTTTGCTGCAGCAGCTTCAATCTGCTGGTTTCACGTCTCATCATCGAAGCTGTTTAGAACACGCAAGTTATTTGAAGCAGTCACAGATTGAATTACAGGCTCTATTCATCCAGTTTAAATCCGTCTCTGGACAAATATTTTTCTCTGAAGCGCTTCTTCTGTTATTTCCGTCGAAGAGACGAGGGATGAAAGAGGCGGCAGGAGCAGCTAGAGTGGAGGAAACATGTCAAAATAAATGGATGCATGTGTTTGCCGCTGACAGTGGCAGATTTGAATCCTTTCGGTAAAGTTCACACTCACCGGTCAAATACTGCAGGCGGCCGTCAGACGGAAAGAGAGACAGGCCTGGATACGGAGGAAGAGTGCGTTTATTGTCTGCGTGTGTTTTGGTGCATCACTGCGAAGCAATTCTTGTGGTTCATTCACGAAACGCGACTGGTCTCTGCGAATGCCCCAATCTGACCTGTCAAATAAACCTCTCTTCCATAACTGCTGTTTTTCCTGAGGGAGCTGAGGCCTAATTGATGCGACCGTAGTGGAATTTAGTGGGAAATCATACAAACAAAAAACTCTTTTATTCTCTTTTTAAATCACAGCTAAATGATTTTTGCCAGTTTGACTGACTACAGGGATCTTCAACGACTAGAACCACCACCCCCTTCTTTTCTGTTGTAGTAGTGCTTGTTTAGGACATAGCAGGGGATGAAGCAGCCTCGTCTGAGGACACGGGGGACGTCTCTGAGTGGTAAACAATGTTTCCGGGTTTGGTTGCTGCATAGATTTGAAAATGAGCTCGTAATCCCAGTGCTGAGGAGCCATCCACCCTTGATTAGATGGTTTAAACTCATTTATATTTAAATGTTGTGAGAGAAGTCCCACAGTTGACTCTACATAAGCGTCCACCCTGCAAAGTCCAAGATGGTTTTAAACATCATATTTTTTAGAATTTCCTTGAAACAGAAACAGTTCGTCCCTTGCTGTTTTGTTTTTAGATCCATGGCAGCGAACAGAGTGAAAACCTCTCTGGCAGAAGGATTGTGAACATCGGCACAGCTCTGAATAGTTTTACTGTTTTGGTTTGGATTACAGACTCTGACCTACATTTACCTGTCGCTCTTGATCCACCTCCACAGGCGTCTTTATGCAAAATGTGATTACTTGTGACAGGCTGTGCTCGCTTGTCGTTCCTTTACCTGATTCTGGTTTGTCTTTAGTTGAACTGGTTTTGATTGGCTGAGCCAGCGGAGTGATGTCGCCCCTCGTCTTGAGTCAATTAGACCGATGTTGTCAGGCAGCTTTCAGAGAAAAACAACTTGTTGCAGAGTGGGGTTTTTTGTTTCCGCAGATGTTTAGTGCCTGTTTTGTTCGGGGGGGAAAGTGGGTGAGAGGTTGGCTGTTTCCCTTCAACACTGATGTCATCCTTGTTGTTTATCGGGTCCGGTATGTGTTTATCTCCCCTAATGTTCAGACGTTTTCTGTGCTGAATATAGTATAACAGCGCTCGAGGGATATCACATGAAAAACCAGACGCCAAAGACAAGTCTGCTCATTTCAATCTGGAGGGTGAAAAAGGTTTTCCAAGGTGTATCGTTTCAAAGGCACATGGAGGGGTGGGATTCTCCCTTGGGTCCTTCTATAACCAGCAGAGTGCGAGGTCATAACTCTGTCAGGTCTTCCAGCCGGCTCACAGATGAGTGATGTCCACACAAATGTCCACACGCATGCATACAAACACGTTCTGTTCTGTATACTCAGCTTACAGACAGCTGAGCGGCTCCCTGGTTTGGAGAATGTGTCCTCAGGTGTTTACTCCATGCAAAAAAAGATCACGTGGTTCCTGAAACAACTGTGGTTACTGAAGATTAAGAGGTTTTAGATGTATTAAGTGGGTCATGCAGGAGGAGTTTATTGAGCTCGTGTGTACACACTGTAAAAAAACAAGTGTGCAGCTGAAATGCATGTGTATTTTCTTTCATTTCCTGTTTTTTTTCGTCGAAAAGCAGCAGCTCTCCCTCTCTCTGCAGCTCCTCTTCCTGACGGCTGCCGTTCTTAACTTTGTTTGTTGGGCAGTTTTAACTTTTCCACTCGCTCAGTTAAAAAAAAAACATAAACTTGTCCACGCCGTCTGAAACACCTTCATCCACTGTATGTTTGACTCGGTGCAGAAGGGCCACGCGTGTCTGTTCATGTGCATCTGCCTTTGTTCCCCGCAGTGGCAGCTCCGCTCCAGAGTTATTTAACGTGATGAACTTAATCCCACACAGTCAAACGGGCCTGGGTTTTAATGGCACCCTGTCGGCCTGAACCCACTGGCCTGCAGGACCCAGCAGTACAGATCAAATCCATTAACTTTGTCTGAGTTAGCAAAAAAAAATCCTAATTTAACAAATAGCTGAGGTTGTTATGAATTCAAAATTCCCTTATTACAATAAATATGAATAAGAATGATATCATTGCCAGAGAGAGATCATTTAAAATTAGATATTCTGTATGATTCTAATGATTAAAAGAAACTCTAACCATGTATGTGATTGTGTATTTATCGTGTTTTTCTGTGGGTCTGTTTAGTGCTGCTGACGTGGGTGAACTGCTCCAGCGTGAGATGGGCGACCAGGGTGCAGGACATGTTCACCGCCGGCAAGCTGCTGGCCCTCGGCCTCATCATCATCATGGGCATCGTGCAGATCTGCAAGGGTAAGCTGGCTCATGCCATCTGTGCATCCATGAATGCATATGTCTATACAGTGCATTCCACCTGGCCGTCCCTGTGTCTGTGTGTGAAGCATGAAATGTCTCTCACACACACACACATACACACACACACACACACACTTGCGGTCACTGGGGACGTCCTCAGACACAGGACAGTATAGACTCCCTGCAGACGCCACCGGGGTCAGTAAGTTGCTGGGGCCCTTTTTGGGTTAAAACTCACATCGCTAATATCAGCATGCCCGTGTGGGTTTGCAATTCAAACATGGCTCAGGTCCAGTTATTTCAGGGGCCACAATGAGGCCCCTGAAATAACACAAGAAGGATTTCTGTGTTTGAAGGTAATGAAGAGTCCAGAGGCTGATTTGACGGGAGATTTCAGGTCATATGTGAAAGAGCAGAGTCGACATATTTTCATGGTCCCTGCTGGAAACGTGCAGCTCGAAGGGATTTAAGAAAAGATCTTCTAAAGATCTCGTATGATTTGGACGTTTACCCCCAAACAGAGGACTTGATAATGTCATTTATAGAAATTGTATTAAAAGGAGATCACAGTGAAAATCACTCAACAGGGATTTAGCAGAAGAGTCGTCTAACCCCCTTGAAAACCAGGGGGTTCCCGTTTGCACAGACGGAAAACCAGAATAATGGAGTTTTAATGGCATAAATATTCTCTTCTCTTACACGATCTGTAGGAAATTACTACTGGTTGGAGCCAGCCAACGCCTTCGAGCCCTTCAAGGACTACGACGTGGGTTTGATAGCCTTAGCCTTTCTACAGGGCTCCTTCGCCTACGGAGGCTGGAACTTCCTCAACTACGTCACAGAGGAGCTGGTGGACCCCTACGTGTAAGACCCTTCACTCTGCCTCGTCTATATGAAGAAAACGTTGAGTTCAGAAAACAACATTCCCGCGACTAAATGGGTCATCGCCGCTGGAAAAATAGGTGGTTTACAAGCTGCTTGTCGCCATTGCAGTGATTAGCAGTCGCATACCAGCTGAGCCTTCAAGTTTAATCCCTGATCCGTTTTGTTAAAGCTCTCTGAAATGTATTGAACTTAGCATGAAAGAAACCCTCACTATCATTCCTCCTGTCCCACCTCCGACCTCCACCTAGTCTTGGTGGATGAAACGTTTTATTTTTTAATTTCCTCTGCAATATCTTTCTTTTTTACAATCTTTAATAACTTTGGTATCCATTAATACCACTTTTAATTTCCTGCTTCAAATCCACCCTTACCTCCTTCTCTTTAGCTTTTCTCCAAATTCCGTCAACTTAAGTTTTCTTTTTTTTTTTTTATTGTCTCGTTGCAGGAACCTGCCCCGCGCCATCTTCATCTCCATTCCCCTCGTGACCTTCGTTTACGTCTTTGCCAACATCGCCTATGTCACGGCCATGAGCCCCCAGGAGCTGCTGGCCTCAAACGCTGTTGCCGTGGTGAGTGGCTGTGATTGTGACGCAGGGTGGTCCTGGGATTTCAGTCAAACACACTGATAGTAGAGAGACTCTGTTGGCCTCTAGTGGTCCCTGTCGGTCAATGCAGTTAGTTGCAGTTGCTTTATAGCAATGAACATAATGAGATCAGCAGCTGATCATGACTGTGCATCTCACCCATCCTCTGACCTTCATTCTCCATCGCAGACGTTTGGTGAGAAGCTGCTGGGAGTCATGTCGTGGATCATGCCCATTTCTGTGGCTCTCTCCACCTTCGGAGGAGTCAACGGTTCCCTCTTTACATCTTCAAGGTTTGTTGACTCCGCCTCTCAAACCATCTTAGAAAACAGAATAACTCACATTTAACTTCAGGTAATAAGCATCAAAATAATTGAAAAGAACATTTAAGAGGAAAAGATAAAACTTTATTGATCTCACACACTGGGGGACTTCAGTTGTTCCAGCAGCACCGACTCAGAATGAGGTGGATAAGAGAAAATGCTGAGTAATAAAAACCTTTCACTGCAGTGGGTTGTATGAAGTAAAGAGCAGTGGTACAGGAGTACTGCACGAGCAAGCAGAAAATAAGTTTGTTAGATATTAGGATATTAGGGGTCTCTCAATATAATTTACCACTTAACAGGATTTGAGATTTTCCACACTGTCCAATAGTATTATGTACAAGTATATAGCGTATTGACTGTTAGCATTTTTTATTTGTATTTGTATGATGAGAAAGAAAAACTTTTTTGCTGCATCATCCTATAAATTGGATATATTCATAATTAGTTTTCTCACTGCATCTGCGTCTCCTACAGATTGTTCTTTGCTGGAGCCAGAGAGGGCCACCTCCCCAGTCTGCTGGCCATGATTCACGTGAAACGCTGCACTCCCATCCCTGCTCTGCTCTTCACCGTGAGTACCTTCTCCTTCAGGACCTGGACTAAATAAAAACTGTCTTATGAAACGCCTTCAACCACAACCAATGCTCCCTCTATCTCCCCAGTGCCTGTCCACTCTGCTTATGCTGTGCACCAGTGACATGTACACTCTCATCAACTACGTGGGCTTCATCAACTACCTCTTCTACGGAGTCACAGTCGCCGGGCAGATTGTCCTGCGCATCAAACAGCCCAACATGCACCGGCCAATCAAGGTCTGTTCATGTGCTTTACAGCATTTTGCATTCAGGTGTAAATGAGGAAGAGTTTAGCAAATTAAAACAAAGAGTATCTGCTGTACTGCATATGTGTTCTCCCAGGATTCTACATTTATCTATTAGATGGCAGATTTGACTTTGTATTTGACTGTGTTACTTTGTTCCCGTCCACCAGATCAGCCTGATTTGGCCGGTCATTTACCTCATCTTCTGGGCCTTCCTGCTAATCTTCTCCCTTTACTCCGAGCCCGTGGTGTGCGGCATCGGCCTCGCCATCATGCTGACTGGCGTTCCCGTCTATTTCCTGGGAGTCTACTGGGACAACAAGCCACAGTGCTTTGATCGCTTCGTTGGTAAGTTATTACTAAGCTCCATCCATCTATTTAATCAATCTATCCATCCATCTATCTATCTATCTATCCATCCATCTATCTATCCATCCATCCTAACCTCATCTCCAGCCTGTCAAACAGCAGGGCTGTACGTCAGCCCAGCATGTGGGTGTACCTCGCCTTGTGTGTGTGTTATTTGTGTATGGGCCTGTACGNCAGCTCTGTCCTTAATGTGCTGAGTGATTTCATCTGTTTGCAAGTTGTTTTTATTTTTCAATTCCAAAAACCCTACACATCCAGAAAATAATTCATCATTCACACATACTGTTATTGCACTGGAGCCCATTACTGCCCCCGCACTGAACTGTTTTTGTCATTTTCTTCCAGACAAGATGACATACCTGGGCCAGAAGTTTTGTGTGGTTGTGTATCCGGCCATGGGCGATGGCAGCAGCAGCAGCAGCAGCAACGGGGGCGGAGAGGAAGGAGAGGAAATGAAGGAAGCCATGTCTCCTCTGTCAAAGGACGACGGCGACAACCACAAGTCAGCGGACTGCTAGAGTCTTTATCACCAAACATGCAAAAACAGACGCACATGTGGGCGCACACTTACACAGAGACACATGCAAACATGCAGGACATCCCAGTTTGTCGTGGATTTACTGAGCAACACTTGTGCCCCCACACATTGCCTTTAAGATTTCTTATTTGGTTTTCAGAAGCGTATCAATCGATCATTTCTTTTGCCAAATATAGTATGAGATGTTTTAAAAATCACCTCAAACTTTTCTATCTTGGGTCTTACAAAAGTGCAATAAAGAAAGGTTAGTACCTTCTAACTTCTCAGTACACGCTTACACAATTTACTCTTCATCATCATCAACTTCATCATCCTCCCTCTTCCCCGCCACACACTCTGCACACTCCTGCTGTAAGAGCGACTTTTTTTATTTATTTTTTTTTAACTATCAAAAGACTGTGACGCCTGCGCAAACACATTTCTTTCTTTTTTTTTTTGGCCACAGTGTAAATTTTGCTTCGTCGTCCGCTCAACACACCAAAGCTGTATTCTGGTCATCGAGGCAGAAAATCAGATTCAGATCAAATCATTTCAATGTCAGCGCCAGGCTGTTGTTTTTTGTTTTTCACGGCGATTCCGAAATGTCTCTTTTTTCTTTTTTTTTTAATTGTGACAATTGTTAATATCATTTGCCTCTGAGGTTATTTTAGTTTTAATATGTTAATTTTAGTTTTTTTGATATTTCTTTTCTTTCTTTCTTTTTATTCAGCATCACATTCATATGGGCCTATTTTTTACTCTTGAACCTGCAAAGCTTTGTACACCGGAAGGCTGATGTGTGATCTGTATTTGTGTAGGTAACTGTGCCGGTTAATGATGCACAATTCTTTTTAATTGCCTTAATTAGGAGATCTTCTGTACTTGGGTGCCATCGTGGCTGTTTTGACTGTAGCGAGGTGCTTCGTCCTCACGCTTAGCAACATAAAAGGAGTTTTGAGATCTTGCATGGACATTACACAGAGAATTAACCCATTAACACTTTAGGTCCGGCTCGGACGTAGACGACTAGGCAACTCACATTACTTTTCACCACCATTGTTAATGTAAGATTCCCTACACCGACACGTGAATGCCCGTTTGAAAACAGTTTTTCTTTAAAAAGGCATTTATTGTCTTTCATGTTTTACTGCAAGTGTTGTAGCTCAACACGTAGCTGTGTTTAGATATTATTTTGTGCTTTATTTAGGGTGTAGATAAGGAAAAAAAAGAGCTTTACATAAAAAGAAAATATTTTTTGGATTCGTGCAGTTCATTAGAAATTATCATGTCGTACAATATTAGCACAGGCACCAGCAAGAACTGAACATGCCACCCCTGAATGACCCCGGTCTGTCGTCTGGTTAGAGTTATGTATCTATACTTACACTGCATATATATATATATATATGTATGTAACACTATTTGACACATTATATACTTTAACGTCTGCAGTCTTTCTATAAGCTGATAGTGTCTCAGGGCATCGCCACTGCCTTCTGCTACACTGCCGAATCTCAACAGAGCCCACTCATCGCTTCTTGTTCTCCAGTCTGTTCGTGCTAAATGTTTGAACTGGTGCTCGATCTTTCAACCAATCCCCTCAGAAAAACAGACAAAGACACGATCACTAACGACAACTATGAAAAGTACCATTAAAGTTTGGCCAGTACAGTAAAGGTTGCTCTTATTAAACTCTTAAGGGGAGCAGGGTCTTGGATGTCTTTACAAGTACAATGAGTGTGTTTTGTGCCTGTACGGTTATTGTGTATTTACAGTATGCACAGATTTCATGACAGTCTGTATTTTGTCTTAGTGAAATAAAAACCACTGACTAATGTTTGAATTTGTAATTCAGGGCCTCATTTATATTTAAATGAATGCTCCCTGTCTTTGTCTTAATCCAATTGTCCATTATGAGAGATAATGTGATTAAATTCATTCAATGAGGACATTTCAACGTTCAATTTGCTAATATTTCACTCCAAGTCTTAGCAAGACCGTGACTGTGCATAAATGAGGCCTGAAAATGCCTCCACCTCAGAATCCAAATGCTGCAACTTTGTGCCATATCCTGCATCACAACAATGTTGGTGTCCTTGAATCTTTTTGCTGTAACTTCCATGTTTTGCTTTGATTCAGACCAAACCAGTGAAGTTTCCTGTTGTATCAGGTAAAATGTATTCTGTCTCTCTACCGTAATACATTATCACACTACCACACTACGCCTGAAGTGTTTAATTCAAAATCATTGTGTGTTCACACTGGTCTTAAATTGACGTTGCCTCGGGCCGTTTGCAGTCTCTATTATACGTCTCTCCAACGTATGTCTATTTTTGTGTTCAAAATGTAAATGTACATATTGGTGGTGTGTTTGTGTGCGGGTTTGTGTGAAAACAATTAAAAAAATATACACATGTGAGCAAGAATTTTCTGTCTCCTTTGTTCAACACAGAATGGCAACAGTGAGGCGTTTTAAGCATTAACATCATTTTATTCTACTCACATCCACAGCATAGGCCAGTTTCACACAGTTCTGTACACACCGAGGGGAGGAGCCAACACAAAAAGAAACCCAAAGGTCAGTGTTGCTCTCTGAACATACAAGCAAACCGAGCAACATCCATGTCAACTGAAGCCGCCGTCAGACAGATCCAGGTGGCACACTCCTCGACTTCTCGCAGTAGTAAAAGTATGCAAAACAAAACAAAAATAAATCCATTTGAATCTGCAAACTATTCTTTTAAATATACAGTCACCAGCCTTCACAAATCTAAAAGAGCTACGTGGTTTCTTCCTCGGAGAAAATTACTTTTGATACAGAAGCTTTAGATAATTATTCCACATGTGTTTGGGCAATTTGTAGAAAATGGAATAAATAATTAAAGTAAACCTTAGTTTGTGTCACACTCTGAAGACTGAGATACAAATGTGGGTTTCCCTGCAGCATCTTTATGCTAGTGCTTAGCTCTAAGAGTTTAAGTTTCCACCCCTGTCCGTTGGTTGTTAGCCTGTTAGTCAGCAGGACTACGCAAAAACCCCTGAACACATTTTTACAAATGTTCCACAATATTATGAGATAAGGCATTTTTTTGAACTTCGTACTGAACAGGGAACAAAAAAACATGTTTGGGGAGTGACATCTATGAATGAGTGCAATTTAGTGCAGATGCTTAATTAAAACTGAGAGCCTGATCTCTACTGAAGTATTAAGGGAAACTCCCCTTGCCTGCTTCTGTAGAAATAAAACAAGGCCACAAGTTTTCCATAGCAACCAAATACGCTCTGGGTTGTGAATCTAAAGTCTTGTTGAATTTTGAAGTTTTTTTCTGCAAGCCTAGCTTTAACATGGAGTGTCTCGCTATTACAGTGAGTGAAACATGCAGCCAACACATTGTTGACTGAAGGGAAGGGGCTACCACAAACAGAACCTCATATAACTGGCAGTGTGTTGCCCACAGTGTCACCAGGCGACTCTCTGACCCCCTGGCTGTGTGTCTTCAGTGTATCCTCTCCGTGTAGGCATTGCAAAAGCTAAGGCAGGATTCATAGTGATGGCTACAATGCAGGCTTGGTGTGGAGGCTTCTGGGAGAGTGGAGCACCTGTCCTCCTCGCAGCGCAAGGACCAAATGGAGAACAGAGCCTCCCTGGATTTTATAGTCGGCCGCCGTTTTCTCATCGTTCCTGAGGGAAGACAGGAAAAGGATGCAGAGATGTGAGACAGCTGAAATACCTCTTTTTTAGCTAATTGAACATGACATTGTTTTATTTTTACAGTGACGGAAGGGATCATTGTTTGGAATATGATATTAATGATTAATAACCCCCCCCCCCATTTTCTTTTTGCTTTCAAAGACATTTTTAGGTCTTGAAATTCTAAGTACGTTTAAGATCATGCATGTAATGATTAGGTGCTATAAAAATAAAATTGAATGAAAAATTGAGCTTTGGGTTTGTTTCCCTTGTCTTTGAGAATTGTTAGAAGCACTACACAAACAAAGTGTGTTATTATTATTGAGAAATCAATCTTACATCTGTTTTCCACTGTAGATCAACCTCTGCTGTTGGGGAGGAATCCCTTCCTTCTCCTCCACCCTCTCTTTAATCCGCTCCACCTGCACAGACACATGAGTACACATGAGTACACATAAATACTCAATGAATGACTAACCTGTGTATTAATATATGATGAACTAAAGGATCCACGTGTACCTTGTCTGTGGGCTCTATGTCGATCTCTATCTCCTTCCCAGTGAGCGTCTGCGATGGAAATACATTGAAATCAAGTAGTAAGACATGTTTGTTTATATTATCAGCAATGACTATCACACAAAGCAGGCTAGCTGCTAATGCTAGGTCCGCTGTGTCGTACCTTCACTTTAATCAGCATCGTTGTTTTCGTGTTCTTGTAAAATCCACTGGAGCGGTTCAATTATAAGTTAAACGAATCTATGATTTCACCGAGTGAAGAACGAGAAGGCTCGATGTTCCCTCACAACAATGATTCAATGGTTGTTTCCTGTGTTTCCTCAGTGGATCCCCCGTCGCCCCCTCTTCCCGTGTGACAACGGTTCCGCTTCGGGTTCGCGTCGTTGTTCGGCGTCATAAAAACACAACAAAACAAAAAAAAAGCGGCTCCGACATTTATTCTCACGTCAACGTGCTCGTTGTGGCGAAAACAAATTCGCGGTGCGTTGCCTTAATTCATGAAAACGATTCTCACGGCATCAGCACGACGTGACGTAAAGCGAGCCGCGCGGTGCTTTCGAGCTGAGGCGCTTTAAAAAACTACAAGGCGGCTGTCCGTCCCCTTAAAGCTTCCCCCCCGGCAACACAGGACAGGAGAGAGGAGTCGGCGGCGCAGACTAACGTCACTTTGCTAAAGGTAAATACCTGAATAAACTAAATATACGAACTGCTTTACCATGTGACTAATTAGCGGCTAATGGTTGAGCATAGATCAGTCGACACGTGGGTTAAATGTTGACTCCTGTAACCTTGAGCTTTGACTTTAGGGCTGAAGAAGCGTGCGTGGTTCAGTGTCAACATCGTTAGCAATAGCATTGTCAGTAGCGGGTACGTAGCATTGTTAAACAGCCTGTTAGCTAAAGATGGTTTTATTACATCACTATTAAGTAGTAATTACAGCTACAGAATGGATATTCGCGATTTCCAGATCATTCATCATGTCTGCTTGTGCCATTTGATAATCTTGTGTGTGTGTGTGTGTGTGTGTGTGTGTGTGTGTGTGTGTGTGTGTGTGTGTGTGTGAAGGGAGGTATAACAAGGTGAAACCCTCGTGACCTCCGATCTCCATCTTTTGTTTTCCTCACAGGTTCACATCCCAAGTCCAGCTGCTCCACTCCCCATTCTTTGTCGCTGTGAGCCTCTCTTGCTCTTTCTGAGATGCCTCGCATTGAGAATGACATCAAGCTGGACTTCAAGGATGTGCTCCTCCGTCCAAAGAGAAGCACACTCAAGTCTCGGAGCGAGGTGGGTACAAGCAGGACGGGAAACCCGACTGACCCAGATACAGATGTTTCCATTAACTGAATACCACATATGTAACTACACACCCTCGCTAGCATTTCAGAGCTGTTCAAAAAGAAAGAAATGTTGTTATTCTGTCATATTTTAGTCGTTGGTTGGAGAATTCAAGCCGTGATACTTGAGCCAGAAACCTGCTTCTGTTAAATGTAAGATCCAGCTGCTCTGTGTTTGTGTTGGTTTGTTTGTTATTAGTTAATAAGATTACACTTAAACCACTAGAACCGATTTCCATAGAATTTTGACACAAGGAAGAACCCATTAAATGTGGATGCTGAATCGGATCAGGTGGTAGATCCAGGGTGTGTGCAAGTGGTGCAGATCTGGTGAATTCACAGGTGTTTTCTTAAGGAAACCATTGAGCCTTGGGTTGTACTCTACTGTGTCATTTTAGTTACTCGGTGTGAATCTTGAGGATTTCAAATCACTACAATAAATAGTTTCCTCGTCAGGCAAAGAAACTTTATGTGTATAACATATTTCAAAAGCAAGAACATTTTAAGTTCTTCAAAAATTTTAAAAAAGGCATCACAAAAATTGTATTTATTTAGAAACTTCATTGATCCAGAGAGAAATTTAAAGCATGCCACTGAGCCACACAGCCCAGTAGTTCTCTGGGAGTTTGTTCAATATGAATGGATCATAAAAACTTAACACTCCTTCTCCATATAGTTTTAACTCTGGGAACAGAGAAGCGTAGTTGGGTGTGGGCAGTTCATAACACAGCAGAAGATGAGAAATGTAAATCACTCACTGAGAGAGACCTTTAAACTCATCATTACAGTAGTCTGACTGAAGATTAACAATGTGGACAAGTTTCTCTGAACCCTGTTGAGTCATTAGTACTTTACTTCATCTCTTCAACAGAGATGAAACTGAAGTAATTTATTTTTGGAGACAGGGGAGAATGATTCTTCATCTCGAAAGGCAAATACCAGGAAATCAGCCTAACATCACCCTAACTGAAGAAAACTGAGCTTGTATGAAATTATAGACCCATGGTGGCAAGTCTTGTTGTTCTTGTCTGTTTCAGGTGGACCTGATGAGAAGCTTCACCTTCAGGAACTCCAAGGGCAGCTACAGAGGGATCCCCATCATCGCTGCCAACATGGACACTGTGGGGACCTTCGAGATGGCCCTGGCCCTGCACCAGGTCGGCTTTGCACGACAAAGGCTGTGATTTACAAATCACTTGTGATCTCTCAGAGAGCTTCACCATTAGTTGGAATGACAAAACAACACATTATTGCTGGCTCATAATGTCCTTATCCTCGTAATGACCGTGGATAATACAAACCACTGCATGTTACCAGGTTTAATTCAGCATCCTCTTGTCCTTATCAAACAGCTGCCCCCAGTGGCATTTAAATGTCATTGCACCATCCACATACCCAGCCTTTTTCAGCCGCCTCTTCTCAGCAACACTGAATAATATAGGAACGTTTCCTTGCTTCAATATATCACTGCTAACATATCTTAATGTGTTGTGCTTTGTCTGCTCCTCCAGTTCACTCTCTTCACCACGATTCACAAACATTACTCTGTGGACGACTGGCTGGAGTTTGCAGCGAAGCATCCCGAATGCGTGGAGGTATTCAAAGTGTTTATTGTCACGTAGGCCTTTATTATGGGGGGAGTTTATGAATGGTCATATTGGTGACACTCTCTCTCTCTCTCCCAGAGTGTAGCAGTGAGCTCAGGGACCGGCGATGGTGACTTTGAGAGGATTTCAGCCATCTTGGCAGCAGTGCCACAGCTGCAGTACATCTGCGTTGACGTGGCGAACGGCTACTCTGAACACTTTGTCCACTTCGTCAAAGACGTCAGGCAAAAGTTCCCCTCGCACACTATTATGGTCAGTAGATGTCTGTTTGATACCTTCAAATGACAGTGTGGTTGCGCGGAAAAAGGAACAGATGTCGAAACAATATTTCGTGTTATTATTTTTATTTTGCTCAGGCAGGAAATGTGGTGACTGGAGAAATGGTGGAGGAGCTGATCCTGGCCGGGGCTGACATCATCAAAGTAGGCATCGGACCAGGTGATCACAGCTTTTTACACACATTTCAACGTCAAGAGAGAACATTGATATCTCCTTACCTCAACCAGATGTTGATGTAGAATTTTTTTTAACAAACAATACTAATTTGTAAATGTATCACACCAGGTTTAACAACATGTTTAAACTGTATTTGAAAATAACTAACCTGCCAACTATCACATACTTTCTCTGGAAATACATACATGCTGTGGAGCAACAATTATTCATTTGGCACATAAAGATCAAACAGACCTGTTGTCCTGTTAATATATCATCCTGCCTCTGTCTTCCTCTACAGGTTCTGTTTGCACCACCCGCAAGAAGACAGGGGTGGGTTACCCCCAGCTTAGTGCCGTGATAGAGTGTGCAGATGCAGCCCATGGACTGGGCGGCCACATAATCTCTGTAAGCAACTTTCATCTATAATAATAACTCAGTAATGAAATCAGGTGCAGAATTAATAGCAAAGGAATTATTAGACATGTTTAAAATCTGTTTTTTTATTGGATAAGACCACTCTTAACTCTCCACAATATGAAACTTTTTCTGGATTGCTTGTCTGGAAATAGCTTTTCTGTCCACATGCAGTCACAAAAAACATAAAGTCACTCATTTCCTGGTTTGTCTTTGCTCCTCTCGTCTTTTTAACCCAGGACGGGGGATGTACTTGTCCAGGAGATGTCTCAAAGGCCTTTGGTTAGTAGTAGTTTTTTCAAACTCATACCGTTTTCCATCCAATGCCAAGAACAAACTTCTCACTGTTTGTGTGACTCTTGAAATGTGCCTCTCAGGTGCTGGAGCAGACTTCGTGATGCTGGGGGGTATGCTGGCGGGACACTCTGAGAGTGGGGGTGAGATCATTGAGAAAAACGGCACCAAATACAAGCTGTTCTATGGAATGAGCTCCGACACAGCGATGAAGAAGCACGCAGGGGGTGTGGCCGAGTACAGGTCAGAGTCAGTTAGTCCTCCTGATGTTTTCCTGACAGTAAAATCACTAAACCTGAGAATAACACAAGTATTTTGTTTTTCTCCCATCCAGGGCGTCAGAGGGGAAGACGGTGGAAGTTGCTTACAAAGGTCCGGTGGACGTGACAATACGAGACATCCTCGGCGGGGTTCGCTCCACCTGCACCTATGTCGGGGCGGCCAAGCTGAAGGAGCTGAGCCGCAGGACCACCTTCATCAGGGTCACCCAGCAGCTCAACACTGTCTTTGGCAACTGCTGAATGTCCAGTTCCATCCTGCGTCAGATCGCTGGATGAGTCTGCATCACTGCCAGTCTGTGCTCTTTGTGTGTTACAAAAGTGACCAGACTCATATTCATACTTCAATATTCCCCTCTTTATCCTTTTTTACGTGTAAGTCAAAGTTTTTTTATTTTAATGCTACTTTAGTATAGTAAGCACACAGACTTGGACCTGCCTTAGACTCCAAATGTTAAAGCAATTCTATTTAACTTTAATTTTGATGTATTTTCATAGCCCATCAGCTATTGTCTGATGACGAATTAGCCTCTGGGGGCAACACCCAACAGTTTGGGGCTCTTGGTGTCGGGTCAGTTAGTCAGCGCTAATTTTTGTAGGTGCTTTTGTCTAGTCACCATTTTGGCTAATCCCCATTAACAGCTGTCTGCATATGAATGCAGATAAATCAAAACGGTGATGGCCGATGCATTTCGGTCAACGTGTTGTGCCTTTTTTATTCCTAAAGCAGAAGAGCTTCTGCTGTAACATCCAATAAACTCTGTATAGAATTCTTCATATTTAGAGCAAGAGCAGATGTTCAGGGTGAGGAGGGGGAATGAAAAGAGGAAACATTCTCTATATTTCCAGAACCATTGAACTCATTTAAATGAAGCTGCTGTTTGAAGTTTAAAACGTTGCTTAGTGTTGCTTTAATTTTTAATCCACAGAGATTTCAGGAGACGTCATTGTCTCTACACAGTGAGATGCAGCTAGAGCAGTAACTCCTCAGCTCTGTGCATGTCCGCTGTCTCATCATTCCAATGCAAGGTCCTTAGAAGTTCTCACATATATGCAAATCTGTGTTTGTTCATCAACAGCGTGTGGCTCTGTGCCGAGATCGTACTGTGAACCTTTATCACCCATATGTAAAATTACATCAAATGAAATAGATAATATAGAAAGCCTAAATATTTCTGAGACTAATTGGCAAACAGCACTGTTTTTAAATAATACAGACATTCCGTCACTGACTATGTTTTGCACTTAAATGATTCGAGATTTGATTTCCCTGATCACCTCATGGAAATGTTTTGAGACTTTGGTGTCATATGTTTCTTCTATGAATTACAGTTTTACAGATAAGCTGAATTAGATTTGAGAGAATGAAGCGGTACATTCTGAATGCGTGTCCAGTAAGTTGGTGCGTAGTGAAAGTGCTGATTTCATGGCAGGGCTGCTACAGATTTTCCCTTTTTCTGGTTCTAGATGTTACCAATCGATATTGAAGTTCATGTGGGCATAGTCATTCCTGGATATTAGCCTTGAAAGCTTTTCCGCTGTCAGGATCAGTTATCGTTTTACTTTACAGTGCAGTTACTCCATTTCAAGCTGTTCTCACACAATCTGTGTTTTATTTTTGTCACATTCATGTGAAAATGATGTTTATGTTGCCAAAACATAAATTTTGAATGCATTTTTTAAATTTACTTTCCCCCACCTCAACTTTTTATCCAGTCAATAAAAAAATATTCCACATCTTTTTCATTTCTCTGACTTTATTGATGATCGGATCATTCACAACAAACATATGACGCGAGAGCTTCATATTTCCTTTGTACCAATCAAAGAAGTCAGGACTTGTTCACCACCAGCAGATGGAGACAAACATCTTAAACGTAACGGCAGAAAAAAAAAGCATTTCAGTTTAATAAAAAAAAAACTTGTTTCGTACATTAAAATCAACTCCAACAAAAAAATAATAACATTGGTACAATTAAAAGTTATTCAGTTCAGATATTACATTGTCTATTGTGTATATAACTAATTTCTGATGCAATAGCATTACATTTCCATTTGACAGCAACTTAACTATAATCAGTGAGATTTCTATTCTTGTCATTAAATCTAAAGACTTTCCCCTTAAGAGGTTTTTCCCATGTACCTCATGCTTTGTTTATTGATGAGCAATGATCATCAGGAAGCCACAAATTACATAAGTTCACAAACCACCTCTGTGATGCGCCGGCTACTAATCATTTCTCTGCAGCAACAGTTACAGTAGGCTATTCCTAGGCTGTTCTTTCTGACATTCTTTTTGAAAACTCCTCCACAGCGGCACTTCCCTTGACTCTGGGAAACATCTGAACCTTCCAGTTGAACAAAGGGGGCCAGATCCCAGTTGTTGATGCTCATCTTAATCGTGATAATTTCTTCCCTCTGGTGCAGTCCACTTCTTCTGAAGAAGGACAGCGAGGAGGCATCAAAATTCCAGAACACTTCCACCATTTCAGGTCGTGATACTGGCCCCTCATTTTCTTCATCTTCCTGATGTGTGATCAGTGCAGACGAAAAGCTGAGTTTTCTCTCAGCTGTGGTTTGCTGCCCAAAACCACTTGACTCGGTTGATGCATCAAAACACTCATCTGTCCAGAGAGAGCTGAGCTGGTTATTTTTGCAGCAGAGGCCATACATGGGCCCATTCTGCAATTTCTCTGCTGACTTTTTGTCACACAAACCAATGGTCCAATCACAGTCTTTGGAAAGACAAACCTGCCACCTCTGAAAGTTAGAAACTGATAGAGTACTGCTGATTAAAAGAGTGGCATTGCATTGCCCCATCCAACTACTGAAGAAAACCCTCCGGTTGTCATTGGACAGCGACATGCCATTGCCAAAAATCTGTGGCTTAAACATCAGGTCTGGACGAGTGCAGAGTAGTTCCTGGTCAGGATCGACCAGAGTCAACAAGGATCCCCATAAGTCTCTGGCCTGCTGCATCACTTTTTCCCCATGCTGTCGAATCTCTTGGACGAGTTTGTCACGATCGCTGCCGTGCTCCAACCCTTTCCTCAGGTCCACAACCTTGGCTTTTTCCACATCCCGATGCACCTGTGAATACATCTGCAGGAACCTGAAGGTGTCCTTCTCGTTCTGCGCTGCTTGCATGCTGCTCTTGCTTGTTTTGATGGACACCATCCGAGCAGTAACTGAACTGCAGACGCTGGTCAGGGATATATCCCGCATTTTAGTCACAGCCTCAATTAGACGCAGGCTCGAGTAACCCAGCTTCTCTCTCTCACTCTTCTCCCATTTTTCCAGACTCACGTTCTCATCGTCAGTTTTCACCCGCAAGGCCTTCTGCTCAGCTGTGAGCTTCTCCATGAGCTCTTTGTGGGCCGTGGAGAAGGTTTTCATATTGTGTAGGCGGTGCTGGTCTTCGATGGCGCAGGAGACACACACACAGGTCATATCATCCAAACAGTAGTACTCCAGGAGTTTGCCATGCTGGGGGCATTTGGTGGTGCCACAAGCCATAGGTTCAGTCAGAGGATGGGTTTGTAGCAACACCGGCGTGGTCAGGTGGACCTGCAGGTGCTGCACACACATAGAGATCTCACATTTCATGCAGGTCTTTCTGGCTGGTTTCCTGTCCTCCTCTGTGCACATGTCGCAGAGGATAACTTGCTGCGTGTCCTTTTGCTGATTGTCAGACATGTTTCGAAAAAACAGAAAGTCCGGATTTCCCTTGAGTATCTTGAGTGTTGAACAATGTCCTTAGGATCCTTCTTGTTGCTGAAAAAAAACCCAAATGTTGCTAAATTTAGTTGTTAAACTGTCTCAGTCTCTCATTAATCAGTCAGCCACAGACATGGAAACCAACAGATGCACTGTTAAGTTTCGTTTCTTGCATTTGACAAACATCAGTGGGAGTGGCTCACACCCATTGGTGAAACTCTGTGTGGGAAAGTATGACAGTTATTGTCACATGATAATCTAACATCTTATAATTCAATAATGTTTCTTGATTCATATTAAACCACATTTGCATTTGTCATATTAGCTCCATTTCATTTAGTCAACAAGATAGGCAAGATAAGGCAATAAAATCAAATAAGAATAAAAGAATATGTGCATAATACAGACCTTTCACTAAAGACAGAATACTATGGGTAGAAAGGTACTGATGTGTACTGTATTTGTACTTCATGTATGGGGAGATATTGTGTTATATAATAAATGACAGTATAATTATTGATAGAAAAACACAAAAAAGAAAGTTAAGAAACTCCAAATGAGCTAATGCTAACAGAACTATTACATATGTATACTTTCCCCAGGATTTCTGCATCATTTATAAATCCCATCAGCTCAGTAAACACCAGTGTTTCTGTCTGGTTTCTGCTCTGAACACATGTGAACTCAGGCTCCCTGCACGTGCAGATCACACATGTTTTTAAAAGAGGGGAGATTTACTGTTACTCATTTCACAGATCAACCCTGGAGCGATGGAAGCTAACAGAAGCTAATCTCACTGGATCCACGGGGAAGATAAACAAGGAGCTGGCGAATAAAAAGTCGTTTTATAAAAAGGTAAGAACTCCAACTTCCTCATCTTCCTCACAACATCCTCATCTTCTTCACACTGTCACAGGAAGCAGGAAGCTAAGTTTCCCACGCTAGCTATTTAGCGAGCTAACCGGTGTTAGCTAAACTGATATTTTATGTTTTCTCTACAAACAACGGGAGTGAACAAAGTGAGTTATTGTAAATGTAAATCATTCATAAAGTTTCTGTACTTGACTCAGTTTAGCTAAAGTTAGCCAGGGGATAGTTAGCATGCTAGCTAGCTGCTTAGCCCTCTTCAGTTATAAAGTTAAAGCCAATGACGACATGCTCCAAGCACAGGAACACACAGATCCTGATAATAATGTTTAAACCACAACACAATGAAAAGAGTCACACTTCATAGAAAGTACTTTGGATTCTTGAAGTTGTGTGTATTTGTATACTCATACATACCTTTACTTCTGCAGTGTGGTGACAGTTCATTGTAAATATATTATTTCTTCCACCTGTAGTAAAACTGGTTTTTAATCCACAATGAGTGAGTGATTACAATCTGAACTTTATTCACATTACAAGTCGTTTTATGATGTGATAAAGCAAATCTGAGAAAGTTTTAATCAATAAAGGAACAAGATACAAGAGTGTGAAATCAAAACCCCACGAACCAGATTCATACAAAATCCTCCTCCAGTTTAAAACCATATCTATTAAAGAGAAACTGACAAACTGTATTAAAAAAAGTTTGTGGTTCAGCAACACAATATTTATACAAACCCCAGAAGTGGGAGAAAAGGACTGATGAAGTTGATTTACAGAGATAAGAATATATAATGACGCTGATTTACATCTGGAATTACTGTTAAGTGCAGACACCAAAACAATTTTGAGTATTTTCCTCCAGGATGTATGGATGACATTAACCATTTCTGTCTGTATGCTCTTGATAGGAGTCGTTACCATGGATGAAGGTTTTCCAGGGCTCAGACAGAACACACCGGATGCTTGTGGTGAGACACAAGAAATGAAGGTCGCCCCGCCTGCGGATTTCAACATGCTCCAAAACTGTGCACTGGTTCTGCCCCTGCTGTCTGAGTGTCAGAGGCTTGTGTGGGTGCATTTAAACCAGGTCGACCTACAGCTGGACGGTAGAGCAGAGCTCGACAAGGCCTTTGATGGCTTCCCATATCTAACACAGAAACAGACAGCCGTGCTGGCCAGGCGCTGCTCCCTGCACCCAGACCAAGTGAAGGTGTGGTTCATGGTACAGAGGCTTCGCTACGGCATTAGCTGGGACTACAAAGACATCCAAGAGGTCCGGAGGAAGTTCAAGTCCAGTCAGGAAAAGATTCAGGGAAAGGGAGAGCTGGAAAACCGGATGGGGGGAGAGGTAAAAGAGGAAACAAGCGAGAAGAAGGAACAGAAGAAAGGGATAAAAAAATCTGGTGTGAAGAAGGCAGGAAAAATCAAGGTGGAACAGAGCTCAAATATGGGAACGATGATGGGAGGAAATGTGACGGCTAGAGATGGAAAAATGATGCTACCAAAGAACCAAGAGGATAGTGAGACAGAAACAGCTGCGGAAGTCAAAAGGAATACTCAGAAAAGGCGCAGAGGGATGGCAGTTACAAACAAGATCGAAAAGAGGGAGATGGAGGAAGACGATGACGGTTTCATGGAGAGAGCCAGAGAGGTGGAAATAAGAAGCTATCAAGTGACACAAAAGAAGAGGGACACGAGAAACTCCATCAAGTCAGAGACAAAATCTATTGCCAGAGAGAAGAGGGAAATGCTGCAGTTGACTTTCTCTAACTGCCAGTATCCAAACGGGGAGGACTTCGACCGCCTGACGAGGTCGATCGGCATCCCTCGGCCAGCATTGGTGCAGTGGTTCAGCGACACACGCTATTACATTAAGAGGGGAAAGCCAGGCTGGATGAGGCAGGAGCAGCACAGCCGGGCACTTGCCAACATCAGGTACCGGCAGCTCCTGACGATGTCGGCAAAGCCGCAGCTGAGTAAGGGAAAGCAACATGGAAGAGGAAGCTTGAGAGGAAGTAGGAAATTTGTAAATGTTCATTCAGATTAGAAATGATGCCTCAGCGTCTCCAGCCGAAACGACAGGAAAGGGAACGAGGATGATGTTCGGACGCCGTTTACATCATCTACTTTGTGGTGTCTGTTCTTTCATATGGAAGTTATTTTTGTTATACTGTCCTTAGTTGTTGATTAGTGTGTGAACAAGCATGTTCAGCATAACGGAGTCCCACCGTGCTGTGCAGAGGTTTAATTGTCAAAGTTAAAACACTTTCATTGATTGAACACAACTCATCTTACGATTGTTAAAACATTAACAGACACAGTTAATAATCTTTTTTTAAACTAATTCCATGAATATTTTACAATGAGATGATGTTAACATGATAATAACAATAACCAGTGCTTTGTTCCCTGTAATCCACATACACAATACAGCACAATTTCAAGATATTATTAGAATATACTGCACCAAAATAGAAAAATAACTTTCTCTTGTTACCTAAAGAAAACTTGAGAAAAACATATTGTGAAGTTTTGCATTTTTGTGTGTTTTGTTCTGCTTAATAGAAACAATTGTTCATCACATTGTTTGAAAGTGTCACTGCAGTATTAACTCAAAACCCCTCAAGACAGTTAATCAGTGCAGAGAAGCTTTCAAAGGACATTTCAGACATCAACTCAGCCTCAGACCTGGTGTTATTCTACTTCACATGTTTCTCAAAAAGGTCTTTCCTGGCTCCGTCAGTTCCAGCTGGCCGTGTACTCCGCCCGCTGCGGCTGCCAAAACTCAGCGCCTTCGATGACGCGCCGGATCATGGAAGCAGACGTGATGAGCAGGTGCCCGGCGGCCTGAAGGAGGGCGGAGGCCACACGCAGCGCTTCTCTGAAAAACAAGTGTCATAGAAACTATTTTTTCTACTGAGACTTTGCTGCAGTCAAGCCACATTCCATCACCTCCCTAACAGTTGCTCAGGTGGACTTGGGACTGGAAAGTTGTACTACTTGAAATAATAAGTTCAATTTTGAGGTTCTTTACATGCAAGGTTCTTTGTTACTTGTTACTGTATTTTCAAACAGTAATACTTGTTTGAGGTTTAAAGAGGTACAGTTATTATTATTATTATTATTATTATTATTCTTCACAAAAGAGGCAATGATAGGAGACATGAAAATTTGTGTCACAGAATATTGTTGGACTCAATTACTTGGTTGTCATTGATCTAAATCTCTATAAAATAGTTGAAACTAGCTCCACCTCCTCCAGCTACACATTTCATATGCTTCCATCATTATTTAAGATCTAATGTCACTTTTGTGCAGGATGAGTGCTTTCACTTTTTATACTAAGTTTGCTCACAACAGTTTGATACGTTTTTGATTCTAGAACTTTTACTCTTGAAGTGTTGGTCCCTCTTCTTAAATAACATCTACATGCTTGAGAGGATGTTGCAAATTCCCTACAACTGCATCACATGTGTTGATGATTCTTCTTCATCTAGTTTCTTATTTGCTCAAACATCTCACCTGAGGATTTTCTTGGGCCCCAGACACTGGAAGTCGGCGCTCACAGAGTACAGGCCCTGAAACGTGGCCTTCACGCTCAGCGAGCCAAACATATCCTTAGGGCTCATCTTGTAAAGGTCAAAGGTGACACGTGCTATGTCTCTCCCGGTCCGAGGCTTGTTGTGGTCGTGAGATTTGGGCACGACTGCACCCTGGGAGGAATCGGCAACAAAGGTCACATAAATTTAATATTTGTGATGCACGCAGAAGTATTTTAGTAGATGAAAACACGTCCTAAATCAGTTTTAAAGGAACTGTAATAACAGGAATACATGTAGGGTTACTTTGCTTCTTTGGTCAAACGTACTGTCTGGGATCTCCATGTCTGTCCAGGCTCCAGGGCCATGAGCATTGTGTTGTCAGGCAGCGTCATGAGGAACTCGTCAGAGTCCACCTCTGTACCGTCCTCCTCACAAACCAGAGACAGAGACATGGCAGAGAGGGACAGCAGCAACGCCTGGCACACCTACAGCACAGGTACAAGTCACTGTTACACCCTGAAGTCAGCGCTCGTGTCGTAATAAGGACTTGATTATAATTTCCCTCACGCAGCAGTTTTCAGTTGGAACTTCAACCGATGCCAAACGATAACGAACAATATCTGTGACTCAATGAGAACAATTCATACACAAGAGGTAGATTCAAGGTGGTTTTGTACAGGGAAAAAATAACTCGGAGACAAAATTGAAAGAAAACATTTATAATCAGGTGAGAGTTTGGTTCAGTGTGTCATCTTAAATTCTTCCTGTAAGAATCTGTGTTGTGACTGTATTTGATTTCTTTCCATTATCACTCTCACCCGTTCTTTCAGCTCCTCCAGGGTCCCAGCTGTGATGCCCTTCTTGGTCGCCCTGTTGTCACTGCACACCCTGAAGGGCCTCTGGGTCGGCGACCACACTCGCTTGGTCACTGATCTGGGGTCAGACGAAACATAAACGGGCTGATCTACATTCATGATTGATTATTTGACCCGCGGATCAAGCAAGAGGAAGCAAATTCACTCACTATCAACAGAACAAAACTAATTGTTTACTCACTTGATGAATGAAGATGTGCTGTCCATTGTTGTCGATGTCTTGTTGTCGCTCCTCACAGCGTTGTTGTTGTGTAGGATGTTTGGTGGGAGATTTTGTGTTCGACCCAGTTAGTGGACTTTGCTCCAAACCTGGTGATTACTCAGATACAGAACAGCAGTGGGCAAGGTTCACCTGGTCACTGTGTGTGTGTGTGTGTGTGTGTGTGTGTGTGTGTCTGTGTGACTGAAAGACATTTTCCAGCTTGACTACAACTACAACACAACTGATAGCAGATGTTTGAGGTTGATATCAATACATGACAGTTAAACACATACACTTGATGTGTGGGACATTCTTTCACTATTTTCTGTCCCGTGTGGTCAGTTGATTATGAATGAAAATAATTGTCTTATATTGATCATTTATACATTTAAATCATAAAATATTCTTGAGGTGTTGTTTTGATTCCTTGAAACACTAGAAAAATGTGAAACTATTTAAAAACGAATTCTAGGGATTGGTTTGAACAAATGTACCGTTAAACAATTCATTTAGAAATCCAGTTTTGTATTTAAGCGTTACAGATTTTGAAATGAATATTTTACAATAATAATAATACTTTTAGGAGCATTATATGGATATAAAGTCAAAATGACAACAATGGTTTCACTGTCCTGCTCATGAGTTTTCTTGATTTCCAGCCTTTCCTTTTCTTTTTATTCACATTTATTTCATATCCATAAGTTCCTTTAAAGCTCGGATCTTCCTCTCAACCTTCTTTTCTGTTTCTCCTCACACCTTTTTCTTCTTATTCTGTTTTTCCTCTTTAAAAAGAAGATACCCACAATTTGCCAAGCAGTAAAACTGACGTCAGTGCAGGAAACGGCTTTACGTCATATCCGGAGAATGACAAAAAAAAAAATTGGGAGCGCTTGTGTAAAGTGCTGTTGTGCTCGCGTGGGGGGCGGGGGCTTCCCTAATGTGAGCCCGTGTGCTTCACGTACAGTCCCCGCCCGCCCGGGGGACACGCCTGGTGGCGACGTGAGCGCTCCCTGAGGTTGTGAGTGAAGGCGGGAGGACGAAGCCGAAGTTTCCTCAGTAGCTTTGTTTTCAGCGCGTGAACAACAACAACAACAACAACAACAACAACAGCAGCAGCAGCAGCAGCCACGGTGACATGTGGAGAAGAGACCTGTCCGCTCCGCAGCGACTCGGTTAGAGCTCCTCCCGGGATCGACTCTCCGTTTGCCGCCTGGTTTTGTTGTCTTCAACGCTAACCAGCGGAGCGACTCGTCCAAGTTGCTAAGCTAACGTTGGGTTTGTGACCCTCCAGGCTTCGGGTCATTTAACGTCCACGGCTCCACTGGGTTTAATTGATTTTAACCGCGGGATGGCGACGAGGAAGCCTAAAGACACTGGTGAGTGTGAAGATGGATGATATTAACTATTCAAACTGGGGTCGAGACAAGCAGAGGAGCGACAGATCCGCCAGTGAACAGATGGTGTCATTTAGTCGGTTCTATTAACATCCACCACAGAACCACCACGTCCCAGCGTCACTGACTGTGTAACTGTGTCCTGGATAAAGCAGAATCCTTCCGCCTGAGCTGGGTGATCCACCAGTACATAATAATTGATCATATGCTATAGTTTTCTCTAACACAGCAATCATATTTAACTTTATTTCTATGGCACCGACCAAGAGTATGAATAGAAACACCAATGACTGGAAGCAAATTGTCATTCAAATCAAATAAAGCCAATTATGTAGTATAATATAGAAGAATATTCAACATTCATTCACTCAACCTTTGTTTTAACTCGGGAATTCATTCATTCACTTGCACAACAAAACATGTGAGTAAAGAAGAAATTATACAAACGAGGGAGAGAAAAGTCAAACACTTAATGATTTAATCTACTTATTAAAAACAAGTGAGAAGAAGACCACACTTATTTCATCCTCCTCTTGAATAAGTCATTCATTAATAATGATTGGATACTTAACCAGCAGCTTGTTCACATATGCTCCATATTGTATATATTAGTTATTTAATGGGAAACATAACAGTTTGATTTCAGGTTGTTTCATGGGTTTAGGTGTTTGTATTCTCTGTTAGTTTGTGAATATCTGCAGCGAGTGGACTCAGTTCTGTGTGTTTTGTCTCCGGCACAGATGTCAGCCTCCCTTTTGCTGCACTTCAGCTTCTGGCCCCGCCCGTGCGCCTGGTGTCCGCAGCTTTCTGGAAGGTGCTGAAGCAGAGGGATGTGATGCAGTACGGGGTTGTGGAGGAGTTTGTGACATCGGCCTGTGACACTGTCCCCGGGCTGCTCACCGTGAGGCACCAGGGCAAGCTGACACTGGGGCTGAGAGGACGGGTGAGAAATCAAGACTTTAAATGAGACTCCCCCACGATGCCAGCCTCTCTCCCTGTTTCAGTAATATGTGCCTGGTTTGATAATGGGCATGTTATCGTCCTTCACTTCCTTTTTTCAGCTGATCTTGGAGCTTCTTCGTACACAGCCTGATGTGAAGGTGATTGAAGCTCACATGAAAAGGATCCGCGCTCCAGCTGCCCCTTCGCCCTCCTTGTCTGCTGCTGTGGTAAATAACATCCTAATGTTCAGAAACTCACAACAAACTGCTGTTTTATAGGCTTCTATTTCAAACATTCAACTTTGTGATTGTAATGTTAAAACAAATCGTATGATACATCGCATTGTCCCTCTTTGTGTCCCAGAGGAAGGACGTAAAAATCGCGAGGACAGTTGAAAGTTTCCATTCATTTGTTCACGCGATGCTGACAGACCCAGCAGAGAGAGAACAGTTCTTCAAGGTGAGTCCACACAAAGCTAATGATTTTAATCTCTGTTCTGTCGAGGTACGCAGGAATTTAATGGCCAACATCTTTTACTCTGTCTGCTGACAGGAGGAGTTTCCTGTGGATTACGGTCCAAAGTTTGACGAGGAGCTGGAGAAGCTGCTGTGGGAGTTTTTGATTCGACTGGACCAGTTGCTGCCAGTTCCCAACCTAGCTCAGGTTTGCTTGAGAGCATCAACCCTTGTTTCAAATAAAACTTTATTAATTGCCAAGCTGTTCACTTGTAATCCTACTTTGAAACTGTAATATCTTCATATCATTTGCCTCCAGACTGTGTCGTGGCTCAGTGATGCCCCCCCCGTCCTTGAGGAGTGTGCGCGGTCAGCCACCCAGCCCCAGCTCCTCAACATTTTGCTTCAGCATCAAACCTGTCTGGGTCATCTTGAGCCTGCAGGTAGAGTTAGATTATCTCCTTCTGGAATGACTCTGACAGCAAGACTTTTAATTTCAATGATCCATTTCTAATAATCTCAGTTATTCATTGCGTTGTTTGTTTTTTACAGCATCTCTCCCTCCGAACATGGGAGACTCCATCCTGGATTCACTTTCTCTGCCCCCGTCTGGAAGAGTCACTTCAAATCAAGGAGGAGCCAAAACGTCTGCAGGGGATCAGTCCAGGAGAGAGAAGACACCATTTATAACACCTGTAATCGGACTAATATCTAACGAGGACGTACCGGTCATGGCCTCAGCCAGTAGAAGAGCATTTAGAGGCGACAAGCCAGCCACCTCAAAAGATGCAACAAAAGACAGCTTAAAGTTCACTATGGTCAAAGAGAGACAAAAACCCAATGATGCAGTGAAAGAGGATGAGGAACAACTGGAGGGGGAGGGGGAGGGGGACGTCTCCAAAAGAAGCAGAGGAATGAAACGCAAACAACCTGACAACAGACAAAGTGAAATCAACGAAGAGGAGGAGGAGGATGTTGCAGGTATGAACAAATCTGGAAAGAGGAAGATTTACAGCGTCAGGCAGGGAGGCAGTGACCAGAGAACAAGTGAGAGTGAAGAGGAGCAGCTAAGCAGAGCAGCACTGGCATCTGGAGTCCAAAAGCTCCACCTGCCTGATGATCCGTCCCTCTGCTCCCTTTTTGAGTGTTGTCTGAGAAAACAGCCCAGAATCATAATCGACAAGCTGCCAGTGGCCTCTGCTAGTGCCAGGACGGGTGGAGGAGGAAGATCCTTCTATAAGGAAGAGAATCAGAGGAGGAAGTCGCCGGTCAAAGCTCCGATGCACAAAAGCACAAGCAACCAACTGGAAAAGCCCGACTCAGACAGTGCTGGCTCGGATGATAAAGAGTAAGAGACACGCTGCAAAGTATGTCACAGCCTAAGTTTGTATCGCACGAACTCAGCCGCTAGCAGAAACTGTTTCTTTATGTGTTCTGGATATTCTGCCCTGGGTTCCTGTAAATCATATTCTCTTTTATTTATGAATAAAAGATTCTGGTCTGCTGATGTTTAAATTTCAAAATAAGACAAAATCAGACATTTTAAGTAGATCTTAGGAGAGAACACAAAGAGATGTCATCTTTAATGTAGTTTGTTATTACTGTGGTTCAAACCTAAAAACAACGGTACCAACGGATTTCAGTGTTTCTGGTTTCATTTGTTTTTTCTGTCTCAGTAAGATAACATTAGTGATTTAAATATGCATGTAAACTATATTGTCCTTTACATAACTGCGGGTCTTATGAGAATAAAAATATCTTATTATTTCAGTGTTTCCTGTTTGTCTTTAAACTTTAATTATAAATGTTCTGGACAAAGCAAATCCAAGCAGCTTAGTTACGTATTCTCAGGTCTACAATTCACCAGCTATTGAAACTACGACTTCATGGTTTAATGATGTTTCTACTCGACAGAAATCATCCTCTCTCATCGAGTGTAAGCGGCTCTCCTCGCCGACGGACTTACACAGGTGATTTCCCAAATTGTGTAAATTGATCACGGGGGAATATTTGCGATGAACAGTCGTCTGCGCAGGTTTCAGTCTTAACTGCATTTGCTTTCATGTTTAGAGACTCTGGCCGCTGCAGGAGGCAGTGAAGACTACGTAGCTGATTCTGAGGATGAGGCGACAAAGAACTTCAAAGGGAGGGTATGTATGATCACAATCTCAATCTTAAAGTAATATTAATGTGGAAGTGAAAATGTGTCGTCGGTGTTTCTAAGAATAGACAGACAGTAGAGATCATTCAAGAAATGAAATCTTACATTGAAATTCCTCTAATTTGCCACATTGTCCCAAAAGAGGGATTTGAAACCCAACCAGTCATTGAAGAGTCATTAGTATAATAAATAATAAAGTTTTGGATTTTACTGGAAAATAACGACTCTCCTCCTCCCCCGTTTTCTCCCTTACTGTCTCCCCCAGCTGTTCATAAAGCGCTACTACAAGACCAAACATGGCACCTACGTTCCCACTCTGAGGGAGTACTGGAAACCTGGTGTGGCTCGGAGAGACTTGCTGTCTGCTGGCAGCAAACGCAGGTGAAGACACAGATTTTTATCGCCAGGATTTGGACTTTGTGACGGAGCAACCAGTTACTTATCTATCATGATTCATGCTGTAATTGTTTTGAACCTCAATACGTTGTGTGATCATGGAGAACCTGCCCTGAAATTGCATTGACTCTGATTATAAACATTGTCATGCAAACATGAGTTTTTCCATCATTGAGAACATTAGAGTACAGATAATGTGTAAATATATATCAGACAATTTCTGTAACAAATTTTTTTTTTCATTTCACACATGCTAATGAAGGTTTTTGAAATTAGAAAAATGTGTCTTTGTACATTATGTTGCACGTCATTCACTGTGACTCTATCTGTTAGCGTTAGGTGTAAAATGAATGATGAAATGGCTGTAAATTGTCTCATTTATTTACAAATTGAATAAAGGTTTATCAAATATACTGCAAAGGTTCAATTAATTGTAGCAGCAATTACAGAGTCATCATGCATCATTTGTTGAAACTGTCACGTCTTGATTAAAAATCTTAATCACAGAACATTAAGAATACGATGCAGAATCTTCACTAACAGGTTGATGTGGCAGTAATCAAAAAAAAAAAAAACATAATCAACACAGAGACAAGAACTAAGTGCACATTAGTGTTGCAGCTGCAGGCTCAGAGTCGACAGCTCATCCCTCCGGTCACTGTGACGGTCTCTCCGGTGATGTAGGAAGCCTCGTCAGAGCACAGGAAGGCGATCACACCGCCAATTTCACTTGGCTCTCCAATTCTGGGAAATTTAAAAGATTATAATTCACGCATTATTCATGCATTATAATTCACGTATATATATAATACCAGCGACAAGTTGAAGTTGACTTGTACCTTTTGATGCTGAGCTGCTTTTTGAACTCGTCCACGATGTCGTCATTTTTCCACAACTGAGACACGACAGAGTGTTAAGTTACAGACACGTTATTTGCGCCTGGTGTTTCAAAGGGGAATTCTGTTTATTTTTCAATCAAGCCTTTTATTGGTGAAAAAAAAGAATCATTGATAAACTTTGGGCCCAGGTTGAAAAATTATATCTGTTACTAAATATAAACACTAGGGAGCAGCAGTGCAAACTAAACATCTAACTTTATCTCTCCATGCTCCCTCTAGTCTCTACCTCTGCGTATGTGTGTGTGTGTGTGTTTTCTCCTCACTGCAGAGCTGAAGCGGGTCTTGATGACTCCAGGGGCCACACAGTTGACTCTTATGTTGCTCTGAGCCAGCTCAGGGGCCAGCGCCCGGGTCAGACCCAACAAGGCTGTTTTACTGACGCTGTACGGACCCAGCGCCTGCAGCAACACAGACCAAAAACCTTATGTCACAGATTTACTCTCTTAATGACATGTATTCATGTTGATATCTGCCGGCATTAACTGTCCTGAGTCTTAATTCATGCTCTCACTGACCTGCATTGGTTGGTATCCAGCCACAGAAGACACAAACACGACATTTCCACCTCTAGAAGAGAAAAGACAGACTTCAAATCATTTCAAATGAAACAGTATTACAGTCTTTATTGTTTGCATCTTTTCTCACTCACCCCCTTTTCTCCATATGAGGCACCACCAACTTGGTCATGAGAAAGGCCGATTTCACATTTATAGACAGAATCTAGAAAAGACATTTCAGCTAAATTCAAATTTTAAACACAAAAATGATCCTGTATTAATTCTAACCTTTATTCAGGTTCATAAATGAGTCCCGGAGCCTGATTAGTACCTTGTCCCAGACCTCCTCTGTGGAGTCCATGATGTTTCCAAAGAAAGGGTTGACCGCTGCGTTGGAGACCAGGATGTCGATCCCCCCACACTTCTCCAGAGTCTACACACAGAATGAGATTATAAATGAGGTTATACGTAAAAATAATCACTAACAGACTCATTATTTTGAGGGTTTCCACCAACAGGAGCCCAGGAGGAACTGATAAAACAAGAGACATGACTAATAACACACTCATACAAGACAATCCAGTCATATTTAATGTCCTCCTCAGTTGACTCCTCACCATTTGAACCAGTTTCTCTCTGTCTTCTCCTTTGCCGACGTTGCAGGTGGTGCCTGTCACCTGGATGCTCTGGCTCTGCAGCAACGCCACAGCCTTGTCCACGTTGGCCTGTCGCCGGCTGCTCACCACCACGTGGGCTCCTCGCTTTCCCAGAGCCTCCGCTGCAGCCAGACCAATTCTGAGGAGGGGGGTAGAGGGGACCATGACAGTGGAGCAAACATCATTCGATATTATTATTACCATGAATGTGCTGTTGGAAACAAAGTGCAACTCAGCACTAATGGTTTGTTTCAAAGTTATTCTGTGATTGTGATCACATCAGTCACTGTGTTGTCATCAGACGGACACTTACGTGGTTATTTTTTGGAGTATTACATTCGCCAAGGAGGTTATGTTTTCATCTGTACTTGTTAAGTTGATGGTTTGCTGGTTTACGCAAAAACTACGTGACGATAATCACAAAACTTGGTGAAAGGATGCGATATAGGTCAGGAAGGAACCCAGGATATATTTTCACTTTGCATTTTCATTGATTTGACAAGGCCTGTTCAGGAGACTGGTGTTTATGAGTGAGTACAAGAATATGAAGATGCAAACAAAAATCCAGATCTGGTGAATTTAAAAGTGGTTTCATGAGGTGACTGTTGGAACTTAATGCAGAGCAGGCGTCAGGCGTGGTTCTTACCCATCTGTGGAGGCAGTGACTATGGCCACCCTTCCAGCAAGGCTGCTTTGAGACATGCTTCTCTGGGCAGAGACAGTGTTGGTCCTCAGGCTCCTGAACACACTCCTCAACATCACCTGAGGACAGAGAATGACCATGTGTCTGTGTGTGTGTGTGTGTGTGTGTGTGTGTGTGTGTGTGTGTGTGTGTGTGTGTGTGTGTGTGTGTGTGTGTGTGTGAGTGAGTGAGAACACTGGGGGAGTGGGGCAGAGGTCACCTGAGTGAAATGATCGATAAAGACCTCGTGGATTCAGGGTTTGAATCAGTCTCTTAAACTAATGATGACGTATTGATCCCAGCAGCAGTTATGGTCAGACACTTTTTAAGAGAGGCAGACAACTCGGTTCAAGTTGTGTTCAGTGTGCGATCACGTGAAGTGCATGAGTGCAAATATGATCAGGGGCATGAGCTCACCCTTCAGTTCGTGCAAGATTCAACACGAGGTTGTTCACAGGAGGGTTTTGGTTAAAACACCTTCACAGTCCAGCGTCCGGACCTTCAGCTACCGACGATTCACAGCCACAGTCAGTGGACAGTGTTTTCCGGGTAAAAGTCCCGCTGTCAAAATAAAAGCCTCCGCCATGTAGTCGCTCGTATTTAATACTTGTTTTCAATTAAACTCCCAATAAAAATAACAATGAGGATTAATTCGGTAGTGGGGACATTTGTTGTAGTTCTCTATCGTAGCAGCAGCGAGCGGTTCGTAGTTGTATTTTTCTCGACGTACAGCTCAGTGCTGTGATTAACGGCGCTACTCGAGCGTCCTCCAACGCAACCCAGGAAAAAAAAACGAGCCAATCACAGAAGAGCTTCGTCGCGCGCTGCGCCCATCCACTCGATCTCACAACTCACTGGATGAGGCGGCGCGCTCCACTTCCGCTCCACTTCCGCTTGTAGATCAGCAGAGCGCGCAGGCTCGCGAGGAGGGCGGAGACCTTCGCTGTTGTCATCGCCCGAAAGATGATTGAACGTCGATGGCCGCAGATTTTTTCACGCCTGAGAAGAAGAAGGAGAAGTGATTTCACGCAGCGCAGACGTGAAGGAAGTTTACCGGGATAAGATAGAGACACAAGCGAGGTAACGTTTCACGGCCGCAGCTCCTTCGTGCTAACGCTAGCCGAGGGGGCGACTCGGCTTCGGTGCCTTTGACCGGCGGTGCCATTGTTGTTTTGAACCGAACATTAGCCGATGAAGATAGAAGAGCTCTGCACCGCGGCTAACGTTAATGCTAGCGCTAGCAGCTAGGCCGCGACAGCGTGTGTTAATGTCCCCCCGGCGAGCTACCGTTTGAATTAATGACGGTTTAATCCGGCTTTGCGGCTACACGCTCAGATCGACTCGCCGTGTTAGCTTAGTGGGTGCACGCCACTCGTTTATCTGCGGTGCTAAGCTAACGTTAGCCCGAGCTGGGGGGGGCTGCGTGTAAAGTAGCGTAACTGGGCGTGGGGAGGACAGACAGGTGCGTCCCGGTTCACTTCACGTGTGTCTGCCGTGAGCATCGGTGTGCGGGACGCGTTAACTCAGCGTGGTGTGCGTGTGTGCACGGTTTGCAGGAAGCCGTGTGATGGCGGACGACGAGGCTCTCGGACTGTAAGATGTGTCCTTCTCAGTCCCAGCCTGTGTGGTGGCGACCTGCACATCCATGATCTGGATGGACGATGAGCCCGACTGACCAGGACGCCTGAGTTGCAGTTTCTCTGAGACTTCCTTATCGATCTCATCATAATGTCTGTCTCCGTGAGTATTTGATTTCTGGATTTGCATGTGCATTTATGATGATTAAAATCTGATCCAAAGCAACATTGCAGCAGGTTTATGTGTATGCTCCCTGCACCATCTCATCATATCTGGATACTCATCCCCTCCATTACACTTTTATGGGGGTCCCACATGGCCCAACTGAGCCTGGCTGTCCCCAGGGGGTTGGTTTAGAAAATGAAAGGGGGCTTGACTCTCCTGGCTTTGGGTTGGCAATTAAACCCTAAACAGCAAGGGACAGATGTGCCTCTCATCCCCCTCCCCCACGCTCATCTCCCTCATTACCATTAAGCCCCTTGTTGTCCACTTGGTCATTGATCCTCCCCAACTGTGCCACCCCACCGTTTCCCCCTCTGCTTCATGACACAGCTGTGAATTTTTAGTGAGTCGTGATGATAGCGTTTTGCATTTTCAGTCTTTTTTTTTGTTTTTCCCTCTTCCCATCCTCTGTCTCTCTCGTGGATGCTTTACGAGATCTTCCCTATTCACTCCTATTCACTCTCCATTCAACAACTCTTAACAATCGTCCGTCTTATGCGGCTCACTTGGCTGAGCCATGTCAATGTACTTGTTTGTTTTGCGGTGCACAGATGTGAGACACGAGCTTGTGTGTATTTAGTTGGTTGATTAAAACCCACTTCTTCATGGCTTAATTTGCAGCATGTGAATTACTGAATCGGTTGGTCTGTCTTGTTAATTTCTCCTCTTGTCTCCTTGCCCCTCAGACGGTATTAGCCAAGGCTCTGTTTGACAACACGGCAGAGAGCCCAGAGGAGCTGGCTTTCCGGAAAGGTGACATCCTGATGGTTCTTGAACAGGAGCAGAGCGGTGGGCCGGGGTGGTGGCTCTGCTCCCTGCATGGGAGACAGGGCATTGCCCCTGCCAACCGCCTTCGTCTCCTCCAGACCGCCCCACCCCCAGGCACAGACCCTCGTCGCGGCCCCAGCGAGGACTCTGTTTACTTGTCACCTGGTCCGACATTGGCTCGGTCTGCTGTCAACAGCAGCGCAGAGGATGTAGATGGAGTGTATCGTTCCCCACCAGGCGTGGGTGAGGGCAGAGGAGCAGGAGTTGCCTCAAGGCCCGGGGAGCTACGCAGAGTCGAGGGAGGGCGACCTCGCTCTCACTCCAGCTCTGGCACTCGGCCCAGACCCGACTGGGATATTGGCGTGGCGGGGCGTCCACGCTCGCCTTCTCTGAGGGGACGAGGCACAGAAATGACAGGAACACTTTATCAGACTCCAATAAGTCCCATAGCTCAGCATGCCAGGCAGCCTGGAGCTCTCATGGCTGCAGAGTCTGTGTACCTCTCCCCCAGTGGAGCACCAAGGGCAGCTGATGAGCCAGAGGACACCACATATTTAGTCCCTAGAGAAACACTAACAACAGGACATTCAGATGACTGTTACTTGGTACCCAAAGGGACACCACTTGCAGGTGATGATGTTTACCAGTCCCCAACTGGAGGTGTTGTAGCTGCAGCTGTCTGTTCTAATGGCCCCTCTATAGTCAGTGGACCAAATGGTACCCCCCAGGCCAAAGTAAGCCAGGACACACCAGGGATGTATCAAACGCCCACCCCTGTGGGAGCAAACCTTCACAGGACTTCAGCCTCACCTTTGGCCCACCAGCACCCATCTCAGTTATCTCCTGCTCAAGCATCTCCCAGTCTCAAAGGAGCATCACCCAACCCAGCTGTTGCTAGGGTCAAACCAGGCCTCGCCTGTCACCGGGGATCCCCATTGCTGGTCAGAGCAGGGCAGGTCAGGGGGCCCGGGTCACCGAATTTTGCCCGCAAACCTCCTCCACCAGCACCTCCAGTGAGGGGAGTCACCAGGAAAGATGCACAGCAAGCAGCACCAACGTCAGTCAATTCGAACTCTCTCCCTAAACCCACAGCTGCAGTTCTGCAGCAAGAAGAAGACAAACAGAAGGAAACTCCTCAGAGTAAAGAAGAAAGGATGAATAATGGGCTGGAGAAAAGCAGCAGTGTGCAAAACAAAAAAGGAGAAAGTCAGGATTACTCAGATTCTTTGGATGAACAGGTTCGTGATAGATACTTCACTTGTTGCAATAAATTGTGGTAAACCAAGGCTAGTGGTTATAATTGATTTGGATGTATTTGTTGTAGGTGTATGATACTCCTCCCAGTGGGAGGTGGCAGCGTCCAGTTCCATCTTCCCTCGGCGATGACGATGGCATCTATGACACTCCTCGCTATGTTCCATCACAAGCTGACTCTGAGACAGAGGTACAGATAAATGCTTACTTTGCATTTCTTGCTGGGCAACAGATTAAACCACCCGTTTTCTAGAAGCGAGTTCCCTCTCAGATCTATCGCGTTCTGTTTGACCTTTAGCTTTTTCACTTTTTCTTTCATCTAGAGGGAAAAAAATAGTTTTTTTGTATGTAAAAGATAGTATGTAGTAGTAAAAGCCAAAGTACAACGTAAATTGAGTTCCTTTCCCTTAAAGAAAACACTGCTTCTGAAACTTCTTCACCACTAGTTCAGCCAAAACTTATGCAATATATCTATGTTGGGAATCAAAACAGTCTCTTGAACAGATGTGTGCATTGCTCATTAAATATAGAATGAATTCAGCTTTATTTGTGTACACAGTGTTTCGTTGCAATCTTCTTACCTCAAGTATTAACTGGATGGATCTTTCAGATGTGTTTCGCACCTACATGTGATTTATCTGTAATAACAACCTAGTGAAACTGTGACCCAGAATGATGAATTTCCCACAAATTACCTGGGAACTGTGGTAAACCGGTGTGTTGAAATCTTGTCTGTACAAGTGAGGCCGTTCAACAACAACAGACGAAGATCAAATGCCCTGTCACAATTTCTTCTCACATTCCACTTAGTGTGTTTCCCTGCCCCCCTTGACAGCAAAGCCACACCTGTCTCAGTCTGCGCTGCGAGCCTGTCTATCCGGTCCAAATGCTGCTTCTATTTTCTCCCAGGCACACCCATCTGTCAGGGCTGAGCCAAGGCCGAGCCACCGCTACCCTACCCCCAGCAGTCTCCCCTTTAATGTTACTTGAACATGAGTGCCAGTTGTTGGATTATTTTTTCCCCTCTTTGCCTGCAATTACAGTATGTGGACTGCAGACTCACCGCTTTTTCTCTTTGATGTTTAACGGTCCAAATGTGTCTCTGCCATTAGTGGTCTGGTCTATGACTCTTTGTTGCATCTACTTACAGATTTTAGTTTTACTTAACCAGTTCCAGTCAGATCAGCCACTATAAAATGACTGCTTTAAAGGGCGTCTAAATGTACAACAATATACACAATTTCAAAAACATTCCTTCTGTGCCCCTCCAAACACAGGTCTATGATGTCCCCACCATCACTCTGAACGTGTCGACATCAGATCTTCAGCCTGACGAAGTTGACGATGAAGTTTACAGTGTCCCTACGCTTCCGGGTTTGCCTCTTGGACCAGGAGAGTCCACCATCAGTCTCTGTGGTGAGGACGTTGTCCTGGTTGGACAAGCCTATCGCGTCCCAGTCTCTGAGAAACGAGTCAGCAAAGGAGATCATAAACGAGACTCCTCTGAGCCCGACTGTGGCATCTATGACATGCCTGCCCTGACCATTGAAGTCCTCCCCCACTCTTCCTCGTCCTCCTCCACCTCTACTCGCCGCCTCTCTTGTTCTAGTAATGGCTCAGGCGACGTGCAGTGGAGGGCTTCGCTTTCCAGCCTTGTCCACTCTGTGCTGAGCGCAGTCTCTGGCTCGGCCTCTGCTCTTTCATC